TGAGGACGCGGTGCAGCAAGCCGAGCAAACCGAGCGGGTCGAGCAGGTCGAGCAGGCCGATGAAAATACCGCTTCAATGTCAGCGAAGGCAAGGAAAAAGGCGAAGAAGGAGAAGAAGCGCTTGTCAAAACTCCAAGATGATGCGAATAACGCTGCTTACAATGAAACCCTGTCTTTGTCGAAAGGCGCAGAGATCCACGCCGAAGAACCTCAAGACCCAAGCGATGTCCAATTAGCAATCGAGACCGAGACCGCGGAAACATCGCAGGAGGCGGCAATCATACCTGCCGAAGATGACGGTAAAGATATTCAGTCCCACGGCACCGAACTGCACGGCGGAAACGATAAAGATCTGACTTGGACTGATGACATGGTTCCGCAGGTAGAGCAACAGCAAGCAACTTCGCCAGCTTGTCCTCCCCAAGTCGAACCTGAGAACCCCGAATCCGCGCCTGCACCAGCCTCTGTGAACTCCGTTGAAGCACTTCGGGACATTATTCCGAGCAGAGAGGGCTCAGAAGAAATCGAGTCATCCGTGGTCCAAGACTCGGCACAAAGGGAGGCGGCGGATGAAGAACTGGCTACGCTGCGACCTGGAAATGCAGGGAAGGAGAGCGAGTTTGAAGCAATGATACCGCAAGAAGAGGATAAAGTTGGCGAGCAGCAGACTACGGGATATGTCACCGAGCTCCCAGGTCAAGATAACGTGGAGGATACGAGTATTGCATCGGTCGACAGGAGAGAATTCGAAGGTGTTGAACACACTGAATCCCAAGAGCAGTCTTTGCCTGCCGAACCGGATACAAAGTACGATGCTAGTCCCCCGGCAGCGGACGAGGAACCAGCCGTCCAACCACTCGAAACTGTTCCTGGGGTGGAAGTAAGCAAGGACAACTCCATACCTGATGCGGATATTCCCGGAGATAAGGCCAAGCGGGAAAAGAGCAAGAAGGACAAGAAACGGAATAAACGCCAAGCAGAGACAGCAGCCAGCGGTCATCATCAGGAGGAACAGGTGTCTGGTGCCACAACTGTAGTTGAAGATGCAGGTCTTGCTGCAACACTAGCTCCTGCTACAGAGGTGAAGCTAGAGCTGGACACATTGGGACAACCTGATTCAAGTTTACACAAAAAAGCTGAAGCGGAAATCGCTGATACTCAAACGAATGTCCATCCTGATGAAGGGCTCGAAAACGCAAAAGATATCCCACCTGTGACCTTTCTTGAGGATGATATTCCAGCCGGTGACCGTGAATCAGGTTCTGTAATCCCTGAGATTATTGTTGAGGGGGGTTCTGTTTCGAAAGCTGGCGACTGGAAGGACCATGTTCTACAGCCTGTTACATTAGAAGATGCGAGGCTGGAGCTTCCAGAATCAGAGGCTACTCCTGATGTTGTTGTTCTCGATGATGCTTCTCGCGAGGTTGCGCCAGAACTTGTTACGCCTGAGCCTGTTGCTTCTGAGATTGTCACTTCTAGAGACATGGCTCTTGGTGAGGAGGTTGAGCCTGACGTTGGCAATTTTGAGGTTGTTCCAGAGGTTGTTCCAGAGGTTGTTCCAGAGGTTGACCCAGGGGTTGTCCCAGAGGAGAATGTCCAAAAGGAGTTTGTTCCTGAAGCTGTTGTTCCTGGGCAGATTCCTTTCCAGGAGGAACCTGTTGCTGAGGCTGTTTCTCAGCAAGGGGCAATTCCTGAGACTGTCTCCGAAGCCGTTCCAGCGGAACTGGAAAGGTCAAGCGTCACAGCACCACAAATTGAATCGCCAGAAGCTGTGCTGCCAGGGATTCTCCGCCCGGAATCGCCCGTTGCAGAAGTTGAAGAAGCAAAGACCGACGTTGCGGGGCCAACCCTGATAGACTTGATCCCAGAGGCTCTGGCTCCAGTCCCTGCAAATGAAAATTTATCAGAGCCAGATGATATTCCTTTGGAGCCCGTGTTCCAGGGAGACTCGGCCCCAATCCCGGATATGACACTCGATGCAAGTCAAGAGCCAAAGGCATCTAAGGAGTCTCCTTCCAAGAAAATAAAAAAGAATAAGAAAAGCAAAAAGGCATCACTGTTGAATGAAGAGACTACGAGGCTCCCGGAGCCAGTTGAAACGTCGGTTGAGGCTGAGCAGGAGCCGAATAATCTGCCTAAGCCAGCAGATACCCCCGAAACCATAGCTGAAAACCGTGTTGATACTGAAGAAGTTCTGGAATTGAAGGCCGAGTCGAGCGGTGCGCAGGAGGACTCAGGCCCACTCGATCAGACCGAGGATCTCCGTTCAATGATCGAAGCAGCTCCTAATCGTGAAGACGGTTCTGAGCAAGAGCCTATGCCTCATATGTCAGAGCCACAGGCGTCATCATTAGCACAAGGCGTGATGGATCCGAAGCCGACGGAAGGAACCCTGAATACGGCGGGGGACTCCGCAGAGGCGATAGTAGAAGCTCATCACGAGGAGACTGCTGAAGAGATGAATCATGGGAGGACTTTAAGCCGCAAAGAATCAGCGAGGAAAAAGAAGAAGGCCAAAAAGGTAACCGAAGGAGACCAAGAGAAACTGATGAAGCCGGTTCTTGCGGAAGACGCAGCATCAGACGAAGCCGCTCCGGAAGAGTCAGTACTTGGTCAAAATGAGCTCGAGAAGAGCGTTCCCGAAAGCGCCCTGTTGCAGGATACAAGTCATCATGCTGCCCCGGAAGGGACGATAACTTCACAAGAGGCTATAGAGCCTCTACCAACAAAGAAAGACTATGGTCCTGAATCCTCGCCGCTGGGCAGTTCAGATGCCGACAAGCTCACAACACGCAATGATCTGTACCCATCCGCGGAGCAAGTAAGCTTTAATGAGGTTCAGAAAGTTGAAGACAGTCAAGCTCCAGGATCCAGATCGAATGATGACTCCAAAGCTCTTTCGGAATTGCTTCCGGAAACTCCCCTGGTCAAGAACGATGAGATGAACAATGAAACGGTAGAAGGCTCTTGGATCGAACCAGATACTACGGTGCCATTGAATCGGAAGCTATCTAAGAAGGAGAAAAGAAGGGCCAAACAGAAAGCTGAAAAGGAGGCTGCTCAAACAACGCGGCAAGTGCAGCAAGTTCAGTACGAGATACAAACCAGTCAAGCAGAAATACCTCCTGTCTTGCCAGCAACCAGCATTGTACATGCCGAAAGGGTACCCATCAATCCATCCGAAGGTAAGCCTCAGGAAACAGACCCTACGTTCGAGCAGCCCGCAGAGGATGATAATGGCTGGCCCTTGATAGACTGGGGGAAAGCACAGATCGATACCACAGAGCGAACCCCAGATTCGTCCCCAGAAGCCCGCGCTATTCCCTTTGAGCCAGGCATTGCCGAATTCGATGAGACTGCTATCCCCGAAGGTATCACAAGACGATCGAGCTTGCAAGGCAGATATAGCAGAGCAAGAAATTTTAGCCTATCACAAAGACAAGATCTCCGAGAAGGCGAATTTCGGCTTGACACAGCTCCCCTTGCAATTGACGCCTCCACTACAGAAGGAAAAGAGACTCGAAAAGATCAGCTTGAGAATGTGGACCACGAAGAGGAAGGTGCTCGTGCCCAAGAACCCGAGGCTCAAACCAGCAAACCAAGCCTAGTAGCAAGTATCTTTCCGGAGCTAGAGCGCGGCTTTTTCCGTCGGCCGGCTTCGATTCCAGATCTCGGGTCAGCAAAAGATGGGGCTGAGGAAGAGACCATTGGCAAGGAAGCGATTCGCGACAGCGACAAGGTCTTGGAAGCTCCCATCGCGACCGAAGAAAGTTCGGGCAACGAGGATCCTACGCCTGAGGTGAAGCTGGATGACTACATGACTACGACAGAGCAGCAAACCGGGCAAGTGGATGAAGCTGAAAATCCTGTTGTTGACGTCGAGGTTGGCCCTGCATACAATGTCTCCGTGCTTTCGGGCGGGCCACACGAAACATCCCGATCGATCGAGATTCAATGGGAGGAGATAGAGGAGAAGGATCAACATGCTGCAACGCACGCCGACACACCCACCCAGCATCAGATCCCTCTATACGCACCGTCACCCCTGCATGAACGTTCATCGGTGCTGGTTCGATCCTCGCCCCCGATTGACGTGGAAATTGGACTGCCGACACCGTCGCAACCAGGATCTACGTGTGAGCTTCGACGCAGCCCTTCGATTCATGGGCGGCACGGGCAAAGCACCACCCCTCAGCGTCGACCATGGTCTCTAGACGAACAGTCAAGTGCATCAGGAAGAACGCCTTCACCGCCAGGAGCGGGTCGAGGCTCAGCCTCGCCCCCCCGGACGCCACTGCATACCATCAAGGAACATGAGCTCGGGGATCAATCGAAGAGACCCACCAGCCCCAGTCGTGGCACGCCCCATCTGGAGATGAAACCGGAGCATGTGCTTTCACCCACTCCTCAAACTCCTCCGCCAAGCAGGAAGTTCACAGACAATGCTTTAGCTCGCCAGGCCTGGCCAACATCCAAAAGGGGCGACGATGATGATGATGATGAAGTGGAGGGAGTACAAAAGCGTCTACCGGACAATTGGCGGGGGATTCCGAGCGATTTATCATCAGGTGGATCAGGAAAAATGATGAAAACGCCTGAACAGGAAAAACCAATCCTGCGACCAACGAGGAGTAAGCGCTCATTAAGACGAACTCCTCGCAGTATGAGCGGGGGTGATTTGCGGGCGGTCAGTCAAGTGCTGGAGGCGGAGGCGGGCCAGCCTCCTTCGGCTTCTGCCTCGGACCTGAACATTGAGCGCATCGCTTCTTCTTCGTCCTATGACCCCGTCACCGACAAGGGCAAACGGCCCCTCCGAAACATGACCGATGTTTATGTAAGTGGATTTCTCTACTTTGGCCGATAGAAAGAAAAAATCAATCACAATAACAAGAACTAACCATGGTTGTGTTTGTTTGTTGTTGTCACAGGAGGGGTGGGGAGAAACACCCAGTTCGCCTCGGTCGCCGAGCCGACCGCCCAGCATCCGCCATCGTCGCAGCATGCAACACCTTCAAGAACTCGAATCCCGTCTCGATTCCCTGATCTCCGAAAATCGCCTACTCGTTGCTGCTCGCGAAGCGGCCGAAGATAAATTGCGTAATGCTAGTGTAGCTCGTCGGAAAAGCGACCATGCCCTCAACCGAAGCGATGCTGACCTGCGCGACCGGTCAGCAGAGGTGGAACAACTCAAGAGCTCAGTCGAGTGGCTGCAGAAAGAAGTCTCCCGATTGACAGGAGAAAACGAATCTCTGTTGACCACGAATTCGGGTTTGACCGCCACCCATGCCTCCGAAGTTCAAGCCATGCAGGGCGCTTACGATCGCAAAATTGAGGAACTGCGTACTGCAAATCAGCAACTCTCTACCGAAATGCAGACCAAGATTCGTCAGGAGATTGACGGCGCCGTGTCGCAGAAGGATCACGAGCTCCGACGATTGCGAGAGGAGCTGGAGACGACCCGCGACAGGGTCAAACAGCTACAACAACAGATTGCGGAGAATATGCGGGACGAGGTGCTCGTCTTTCGCGATGAGGACTACTTCGATGCTGCGTGCCAGAAGCTCTGCGGGCATGTGCAGCAGTGGGTCCTGCGCTTTTCTAAACATTCCGATCATCGTCGCTGCCGCAAGCTAAGTGATCTGCAAGACGAGAAGATCGCCGACCGGTTCGAAAATGCCATTTTGGATGGCTCCGAGGTCGACCTTTACCTTGCCGACCGTGTCCGACGTCGTGATGTGTTTATGTCGGTCGTGATGACCATGGTGTGGGAATACATCTTCACTCGATATCTTTTCGGCATGGATCGCGATCAGCGACAGAAGCTCAAATCACTGGAGAAGCAGCTGTCCGAGGTGGGGACGCGGAGTTCGATTCACCGTTGGCGAGCCACTACCCTGACCCTGCTTGCACGACGACCAATATTCTCGAAGCAGCGGGAGACCGACACTGAAGCGGTGGCTCTCGAGATTTTCGACACGCTGTCACGTCTTCTTCCGCCGCCTAGCAATGTTGAAGCGCAGCTGCTGGATTCTTTGCGCAAGGTGCTGCGAGTTGCTGTCCATCTGTCGATTGAGATGCGTACGCAACTGGCGGAGTATATCATGTTGCCTCCGCTGCAGCCGGAATACGACACTAATGGCGATCTCGCCCGCCAGGTCTACTTCAACGCCTCGCTAATGAACGAGCGCAGTGGCGAGACCACGTCGAATGAAGAGCTGGAGTCTCAGCAGGCTGTGGTTCGCATTGTTCTATTTCCCTTGGTGGTGAAGAAGGGTAATGATGCGGGTGACGGGGACGATGAAGTGGTCGTCTGTCCGGCCCAAGTGCTCATTGCACGACCAAACAAGGATAAGAGGGTGTCCAAAATGCTCAGTGGTGATCGTATGTCGCTCGATGCCACCCGATCGGTGCACAGCGCAGCTCCGTCGTCAACTATGGACTTGAGCAACGTGATTTGAGGCGTCACACTTGAATCATGAGAAGCTCAAGATCCGTGGTGGATCTGACGGGGTATAGAGTTGCACTCCGGCTCTTATACCCTCTATCTCCTTGGATACCATCTGTTCTCCTCTTTTCTTCTCTTTTTCTTTCTTTCCCGATTCTTACTTCCCAGGGAATTTGCACTGAAGGCGTCCTGGACAAGGGAGGACTGGCTGGGTTAACGGTAATGAATAATTTCAGATGCATGAGGAACTGTTCATCCCCAGCATCGGCAAAATTGATGATGTTTAATGATGATGATGTCCGCAATCTCTTTTAGAGTTGACGATCTATCACGGCCTTTACTTAGGTTATTCACGTGTTGTTTATGGTTCTGTATTTGTTTACCTTTCTCCTGTTGGACAGTGGATGAATAAGGGTGTGTAATAATTCTTTATATGTACATGATGCGATGGATGAAAGTTGTCCATGCTTCCGATCTTCTTTGGATAAGAAGTAATTGTAACAATACGCGACGAGTAACGAGTCAACTACAGTGCGAGTCAACTACCGTGCCGTGGGCGCGTGATGTCATGATGGCTGGAGTTGAACCTTCGAAGAAGAAGGCGGTGAGCAGCCGAAAGTGGACTGGGTCTAGCCTAGGCGTGTGCGTGTGCCGTCATGCATTGAGCATCGACCATCAATCAGTCAGACCCTCTCCTTATCTCTCTCTCTCTCTTCCTCTCTCTACAACCTCTGACTCCTCTCTTCCGTCTGTCTGCTACCACTTACTCTACTATTTCACTCTACTTTTCCTCTCTGGACAAGTGCTTGTCTTGCGCATACGTCGACGTACCTCCCCTAACCCCCCATGTTCCACCCAAGTCTGCCTTTCACTCGCCAATCGCTCCTCGTTCGTCGCCCCGGGCCCTGATGAGGTGTCTCTCTGCCCATGCTATGCTGAGCTCGACAAGGCGCCCAGCTCCTGCATGAACATTCAACCTTGCATTCTTACAGATCTCCCCTCGTTCGCGTCTTAGTCCGTTTTGTCTTATTTCTTCTATGGTCGTATTTTTTGTTTCTGTGACTGGTTTTAATTATTTTTGGCTTTTTTTCCCCCGAAATAGACTCGGCGCGCTGGACTGGATTACTCGATTGATGATTCATCGGTCTAGCTATTGGTCCTTCAGTGTTCCTCCCTGCTGCTGTTCTGAAAATCCGGGCCTGTTTATTTCGCTGCCACTTGCGTTTTTGGACCGATCCTCGTGCATGCGGCCCTAAAGCCCCTCCTCAAGCATCATGCAGCCTACACCGTCAACTCCCCGGCAGACCGCCCCCAGCCCTAGCAAGCGCTCTGTTCACAACGGCCGAGGTGCGGACGCCAATTCGGGAACACCTCGTGCCTCTGTCAACCTGGAGGCTTCCCGGCCGGGCATGAAGCCGGATGATGGTACAGCGAGCAGAGCAGGAACGCCCAAGTCTACCAAGCGGCGAAAACCCCGTCATCGGAAACGCCGTAATCGCCGGCAGTCGTTCCTCGGTGCAGAAGATTCCCACCCTGGCGCGGCTGGATCGTCGGTCGCTGATCCTGAGGATCTGAGCATGATGGCAGCAGGGCAGACCAACGCGCAGGTACCCTTACCCTTCTACAACCTGAGGCGGGATCTCAGCAGCACGAGCCTTGAGAGCGAGGCCTTGCTGGATCATCGGTAAGTGTGGTCTGATCGACTCCCTTGCGGGTTTCCAACCTTATCGCAAAGGTCTGGTGTGGCTAACAGTGGACATTGCGGTGCAGTAATCAACCTTCTATGCGGCCTCGGAGAGACAGCCGCCTTGGGCAGTCGTTTCGGCCGGGATCGCTCTCGACTCCTTATCGACTTGCTGGTGAGGCCGGTTCCCGCGGTCTATCGTCGAGGGGGAAGTCCTTTCGGACAGGGGAGGACAGCGGTGGAGAAGATGTGAATGATCGAACGCCATTAATCCCGCCATCCTCGGCCCATAGCCCTACGGTTCCCCGATATGGGACGGATTCCAAGTCCAGTCCGTTCTCCTTTCGTCAACGGCGTTCTTCGGGCCAGTCTGGCTCGTCGCGATGCTCGCCCCGAGCGATCCCGAGTCCTGGCCTCGTGGAGCATGATCGTGACTACGATATCAACAATCCCCCGTCCATGCCCACCTCGCCCAAATTGGGGCCGGAGATGAACTACGACGATGCGGTGGTTACGGGGGCGGAATTCGACTTCATGCTGGCCAAATCCATCGACAATCGCATGGAGAATCTGGCTCGTTCACACGATGTGCTGATTGATGTGGATGCTGGAGGGGCCAAGGGACCCCAGCCGTCCATGGGATCCTCGCCTCCTTCGCCGCACATGGCTCCTCATGAGGGCCTCCGGCGCCGGAAAACCATGCCCGCAGAGGAAGATGTCTGCTTCCCAACGGAAGCAGCATCGGAACTCGCTGACGAGGACGAGCTGCGGGCGCCCCGGGAAGACCACCGTCGACGACGGCGCCACCGGGAATGGCCCGAACTGTCCGTCCTAGATGAATGGAGCCGGCAAGAGAAGGAGGAGCGGTCCGGGGCTCTGCGTGCCAAGACAATCAGCGAGCCGATGCTCGTTGAGGGTCGTCTTCGCCCTCAGTATCGACTCTGGCGCCGGGAAGAGGAGGAAGCGCCCTACCGATTCACTTACTTCAACGAGGAGTTCCAGAGCACCATCCACGCGCAGACTATCTCCGAGTTGGTACAGCCGGGTGGTAGCTTCCGCGAGTTGTTCATTCCCGACCCACCCGAGCTGGAAGTCTCATCTGACGAGGATGAGAGCGAGCCGGAAGACCACCACGGGGAAGAGGCTCTAGGCAATAACCATGGTAGTCGCCAAGGCAGCCATCCTGGTACTGGACACAATGACGCTAATCGGACAGGATATTTCAATCCGGCCAATCACAGCGGTGATGTCAATAATAACAATCATAACAACCACACTCCCAAACAACATCCACGGATGTCGGTGATCAGCGAGGCCGTCTCGGAGGCTCGAACGTCAACGGACGTCTCCCCTTCCCGGAAGCAGAGCCAACCGAGACCTAAGCGCTACGGGCCCCGGCCAACCTTCTGGCTCGATGTGCTGTCCCCGACCGATACCGAAATGCGGGTACTTGCCAAGGCCTTTGGCATCCACGCGCTGACAACAGAAGATATCATGATGCAAGAGGCGCGCGAGAAGGTGGAGTTGTTCCGGAACTACTACTTTGTCAACTACCGGACCTTCGAACAAGACCCGAACAGCGAGAACTACCTCCAGCCCGTCAACATGTACGTGGTCGTTTTCCGCGAGGGGGTGCTCTCCTTCCACTTTTCGCAGACGCCTCACCCGGCGAATGTGCGGCGGCGCATCCGGCAATTGATGGACTACCTGATTCTGAGCTCGGATTGGATCTCCTATGCGCTGATTGACGACATCACCGATGTGTTCGGGCCCTTGATCCAGGCCATTGAGGATGAGGTCGACGAGATCGACGAGAAGATCATGCAGATGCATTCCGATGAGCGCGGGCTTGTGTCGAACACCAAAGACGACGAGAAGGACAGCGTCTCCACCTCGTTGGCGCCCGGCGAGATGCTCCGGCGCGTGGGGGTTTGCCGCAAGAAGGTCATGGGGATGTATCGACTGCTGAGCAACAAGGCAGATGTGGTCAAGGGGTTTGCCAAACGGTGTAACGAACAGTGGGAGGTGGCGCCCAAGTCGGAAATCGGCCTGTACCTGGGCGATATTCAGGATCATATTATGACGATGACGAGCAGTCTGACCTACTATGAGACGTAAGTTTTTGTTATTTTTTTCCCCCCCATTCTTGGTCACGGCGGTTTTGTGGTGTACTGATATGGGGCGGTGATTTTACTTAGGCTTTTGTCGCGGGCGCATTCGAACTACTTGGCGCAGATCAACGTTCTCATGAACGAACGGCAAGAACAGACCGCCGATGTGCTGGGGAAGCTGACGGTGCTGGGAACGATCGTCCTGCCACTGAACATCATCTGTGGTATGTGGGGGATGAACGTCAAGGTACCGGGGCAGGATGTAGACAGCCTGACCTGGTTCTGGTCTAGTAAGTTATTTTTTGTTTATGATTCTCATCTCCACCACGGTTGGTGGGTTGCATCTCCGGTGAACCAGGGTACTAATTGCATGGGTACAGTTACCGGGGGATTAATTCTGTTTGCTTTCGCATCATTCTACATTGCCAAGCGCGTGTATGGGATTGTATAGAGTTGCTTTTGGGGCGAGGGGGGGAGTTAACTGTATTGTGTGTTGGCGGCGTCCTTCTGGACAGCTTCTCTGGAGTAAGATCGGAGGGAAGGAAGGGAGACTCGTGACAGGTGGGGGAGGGGGGGATTTACGGGTCCATCGTGTGATACTGCTGCTGTCATTCTTTATCATTCTTAATGTTGGAATCATTCCTGGTCTCGAGGATGATCCTATTGTTGCAGTACCTATCCTTGCTTCCTGTTTCCTAGTCTCTATTTACCGGGAGTAAGCCAATCAGGCGGGAAGCAAGTAAGTACTGAGTATCTCTACCAATGTAAAAAGTATAGATGAGTGTGTTTCAAATATCTTAATTACCTCGATGAGGTAATTTTGATGATCTTATTAATGGTTCGAATAATAATCTTTAATAATTCCAAGGCAGGCTCGGATGAAGTCATCATGACTGGGGGAGGATCAGTACATCTTGTGACAGGCGGTAAGAGAGGATTACCTTCACGCGGCTGGTAATCTTACCTCAGTTGCGTCACTACTGGTAATATTTCTTCCTTTCTAGTCATGTAAACTACTCGTAAACTTACTCCGTACTCCGGGATACCTCATCCTTCTCTCTCTGTGTGTACAGTAACTTACTAGTATTCAGTACTTTCCTTCTCTTCCTTCTCGTTCTCTTCCTTTCCTCTTCTCTTCTCTCTGCTCGCCTTACACATACAACATACACACTTCTCCCCCCTCCTCCTTTCTTTTCTCTCCTTCAGCTTTGGTTATTGTCCAGTTCAGGTCAAGTCAGGATGTGAATGTCTTCCTCCACTGTCTCCATTCCCATTAGCCACCTGTGAAGGACACTAGAGCTGCCGGTGCCTTGACGTGGGCGACTGTCATTGGGTGTGAGTGTGCCAGTCCCCCTGAGTGGGCAAAAGCCAGCGGGTGTCGCCCTTATCACCACACACTGTAAGTTACCCACCACTACACCACCACTACACCACCACCACCATCATCATCATCATCATCATCATCATCATCATCACTGCCACCACTGCCACCACTGCCACTACTGCTGGTACAACACCTCCTCCTCCTCTGTCTCTGGCTTCTTTTCAACCTTCGCGAATGTCCTTGCGTCCTGCCACCTGGGCCCGCACCTGCCAATAGAACCCGCCCCCCCCCTCCTCTCGATCCCTCCACCCTCCTCCAGCCTATCCACATCGCTCTCACCTGATTTTATGTCCTCCTATGGTCCTCGACTAACTCACCAACGGCTTGGAAGCTTGTTCTAGACGTTGTCCATATTTCCCACCACCTACACACACCCACCACACACACACACCACACACCACCGACCACCTACCACCACTCCATCCCCTCCCTTCCCCTCCCCTCCCATCCCACTGCTTAATCAAGTTATGTGCACCATTGTCTCCGCCCTTACGGCTTTGGTCTGCCTGGATCTTTACTTGGTTTTTTCCTGACTCGACCTTTGCGCAATTCACATACATCCTCAGTCCCAATATTTCCCCCTCCCTCTTCCTCTCCTACAACCTAAATCGGCTGCTACCGCTACCGTGGAGACTATTGTTTATCCTCTCCGCGCTATCTCGATAACGGTTTCTCCCGCTCCGAGGTGCTTTGTCCGTTCGCAGCATGTGGCCGGCCTCCATTCGCCCTCCGACTACTCTTTGGACTGTGTAACGTCGTGTTGTACAACAGGAAACCATTGATTCGCAAGTGCGGCGACCACTCAGTGGTGTCTGCGGTTCTGCATTCTTAAGCTCCGAATCTCCTGACTCTTTTGGCAAACCCAGTGTCTCGATCTGGGCGTTTTCCGTGTTTGCCTTCTCTCTAATCTTTATTTTTCCACGCCCTGGTCCCGGCTTTCCCGCGCCCGCTTGGTGCTCACCGAATTTTTCGAGTCCTAGTTTCCCCCTCTTCGTGTTTGCCTTCCACCGACTCTTATCCTGGTTCCCTCTCGGACCTCCTGATTTCTGAAAGGGTTGTCAGCAAGTCTCTGACGCAGCAGAAGTCATGGCGGCGGAGTCCGAGAGGTCACCTCCTCCCAACGGGACCGCTGGCGGATCTAGAGTGGCCCAAACCGATGAGGCTGCCGCTGCTCTTGCAGCGCCTCGCCGATCTGCCAGTGAGAGCGACATGATGGAAGTGCCACGTTCGACCTTTAGATCCCAAATCCAGGGGCCTGCCGTGTCACAGCTGCCTAAGTTCTCGCATGTCGTTCCTGGCATCGCCATCCCGACGCCCACCGCTCCCTCCGTTATATCCTCTCGTGAAACCTCCCCGGTTCGGTCCTCTCGTCGTCCGCGCAACTCACCTTCCACCCCCCGGATCGCATCTCGATCACGAAAAGGCAGCGTCGACCGGAGTCCGAATCGTTCTGCCTCCAACACTACCACTTCTGGCGGGTCGGGCACCGTTCCCTCGGCCACAGCCATCCAACGAGCATTATCCAAATCATCCAAGCCTCTGATCCTCAGCCCGCCTCCCAATGCCGATTCGTCTTCCGATGTGCCTAGCCCGGATAAGTCCACCATGCCATTGTGGGCCACTTCGCGACGGTCGGAGCCGGAGACCGCGCAACCGAACACCTCGATCAAGCGCTCGACGCCCGGACCGGATGATCATGCGACGAAGGCCGATCGAAGTGTCCCCCGGGCCGTCAATCGGGGAAATCATACACCAGGCTCGGCTCTCGAAACTGTGCAGGAAATGGCCAGTGATCAGTCCACACCATCGACCGAGACTATCCTGGGGTTGCCGTTACGAGAAGACTCACAACTGCAGAAGATTGACGAAGACGCGACGCCCAAGGCCTCCAGAGTGCAGCACAATGAAAGTGGCAGTGACAGTGGTGGGAATAAGAGCTCGGAGCCGGTCGATAGCTATCGCCGTCATGCACCCTCGGGCTCCCGGGGTTCCAACAATACTATCATCCCGAAACGATCCACTACCTCACTGAGTGGGGGCCCTCGCGCAAAGCCGACCGATGGTTCGGTGCGCAATATGATTGTTGAGACCGAAACTGTCAGCTCTATTCCTCAGGTTTCTCTCGGGGTGGTGCCGGGAGATAGAGGCAACACTGGTCGAGTGGATGCGGGGACCCTTCGAATGAAACCCAGTACCGAGACTATTCGGCCGAAGAAGGAGAAGAAGCGAACCCGGAAGCCGGCTGCGCTGACGACAAGCACAGCATCGTCCAAGGCAGACATTTTTGAGGCGAAAGTGGCCAGTGCCGTTGACGAGGCCGATGTATCGGACTCCGACGAGACATTTGTGTACGAGTCCAATCCCCCGGATCCGTACCCAGTCCGACAGAACCGGTATCATTCTCGGACCCCGAGCGCGACATCTATGGCTAGTCAGGTCGACCAGCTGGCCGGTCGGAGTCGAGCCGGGATTCGAGATGGGAACCACAGCGTTACGGGCAAGCGAAGCATGAAATTCACCAATAATACCTTCACCAGTAACCCCGATGACTTTGGGGATGAGACCATACGCAGCCATCCTCGAGCCGAAGGTAGCGGAACGCACACTCCCCGGCACCACCATATTGGGCGGTACGGCCGCAACAACAACCTCTATCCGTCCTTGTTCGATAGTGATTTGCCATTCCCTCAGTCTCAGGGCAGTGCCAAATCCCCCCGCCACTTTGTTGGCAACGCCTATCGACAATCTCGACATCCTGGATCACGCGCAAACCCGAACTATCGCACAATCAGTGGTAGCAAAAAGCCACACGATCTTTACAGCTATGATTTCGATGCCGAAGGCGCGGATGATGAACGCACTCCTCTCGTTGGCTCCCCCCGAGTAACGCGAAGTCGTCAAAGCGGTGGGCGGCGCCCGAACAGTGCCAGTCTACGCCAGATGGAGTACATGCAGCAGCGCCATCGTGGGTTCTTCTCCCGCTACGGCGCATGCCTCTTCATCACCGCTATACTCCTGTTCGCTGTTGGGGCGATCACATCTTTTGCCCTGATGACCACGAAGACACTCGTCGATGTTCAGGTGCTCGATATCCAGAATGTTCTAGCGTCCGAACAGGAAATTATGCTGGACTTGAACGTGCAAGCCATCAATCCAAATCTGTTCCCGGTGTCTATCGACGATATGGATATGAATATCTTCGCCAAGAGTCGATTTGTGGGGACGGACAAATTCTGGCGCGAGCATGATCTTGACAAGAGCCCATTCCCTCGAGTAGAGCGAAGCAGGAAAAGGGCAGAGATGGCTCGACTCGCTCGGTGTGCTAGCTCGGTCGGCTGTCAAGCGAATGAAACCGAATTCAGTAGCATGGCACTCGCTCACGGCGGTGTGGACAAGGGCACTGATCCTATGCCCACCGATCCTGCGGGTGACCCCCAGACTATGTTGCTCGGTCGTGTTTTCCATTTTGACTCGCCGCTGCTGCTGGAGCCGTCGCCATGGCGCTATGAGCCGTCGACCTCGAAAGGACAGATACGTCTTGCTCGCCCCGGCAACAAGACAGAAGAGGGCGGCACAGAACGGTGGGAACGTGTGCTTCAACACCCGTTCGAATTGATTGTCCGTGGTGTGGTTAAATATCAACTACCCCTGACTTCGCGCTACTATTCTGCCTCAGTCAGCTCTAGCATCAAGGTCATACCTGATGACGGAGATGACGATGACGGAAATGGTGACCACAACCAGAGTCCCGGGGGCAACGGCACGGTGACAATATCGGCAAAGAAACGTTTCTCACGCAGTTTGCGCACTGTCCGAGATCCTGCAAGCCCATTGGATGTCGTTCGAAACACATTCCGTGTGGTGAAGCGAGCCTTTACGGCTTAATGGAGATTGTTCACGTTGATTTTCCGATTTCTTCCTGGCGTTTTGGGAGCCTACAGCTCGAGCGTTCAGCGATCCCTCTTACCTCACTTTGCATTCTTCTTGGCGAGTCACGGCTCCAATACAATCTATGCAATTTGTGGGCGCATACGATCCTGTTTATCCTCCTTTGCGATGTTGGATCTGCTTTCTCTTTCAACTTTGACCTACTGATGTGTGATGACCTGACATAATCTCTCACGATTGATCCGGCAGCGCGAGCATGGAGAATCGGCGGCGGTGTCTTTTGAAAAAGGGAAAAGACATTTCATCTTATGCATGCATCAGCAACGGCGCTTCTATACACTTTTGGGGGTTTTTTCTTCATTTGCGTTTTTTTGTCTGATTAGAGTGGGGAGGATTCTGGGGAAGGAGGGATGTTGAGAAAGAGACAGGCAAAAAAAGGCAGACACAGGGGCCACACACCCACGGGCGTGGCGCAGGCGTCGTTCTCTGGTCTTGCCTTGATCAATTTGCGCTGTCTTGCGTGCAGGATCGGACCTCCGTCCTCTCGCCCGCTTCCTTCCTGTCTTATGTATGTATTCATGTATGGTCTCTCTTGTACATAATGTGTTATCCATCCGGTGCATCGAAGTGCGCCGTTTACATATGCGCTTTTGCTCTCGCTGTTGCTATTGCTGTATCTGTGAAATGGGGGTTGGTGTGGGAAAGGTAATGCTTGATAGATCCATATAAACTGATGGCATACATGCCATGCCTTCTTCTCTCGCAGTCAAACGCCTTGATGAAGACGTGATCACAGTCGTGGTAGCATGAGAGTACTGTACGTAGGGCCTGCTTGCTTAATCTCAGACTCGGGTATCCAACCAAGCCCACTCACTGACCTCCAGAACCTGATAACATCCACAGAACGTGACGCCACGCAAAGGTAGATCCGGAACTAATCACTCAAACTACTGCGGACGACGGATCGATCAGTACCTTCGTGGTCCAATCCGTAGCCAGGCCATTAATAGCAATACAGGGTCAAACATGTCCGATACAGCACAGTACAGTAGTAATCCAGGCAAGTCCAAACTCCTTTTTTGTCTTCGTAAGCGGCACTAGACTATTTTCTTTAGGGCCTGGATCATCAATGACACTTTGCTAGGAGGCATTGCACATGGACCATGGACAGTCCTTTCCTTCTTTTTTTTGTGTTCACCGCCAGCCAGCTAGCCAGCCAGCCAGCCGGTCTTTTTCTCTCTCTCTCTCGTTGCCGCCAATCTTATTTATTGGGGATCCCCCACCCGTCCCATGGGACTGACGCCGGACTGATCCAATTCTGCGGCTGGAGTTGCGAGAGGAGTGGCTCGGGGATCCGTTGCATCGGGGGAAAGGGCACGAAGTCACCGGGGGGGTTGATGAGGCCTGCGGTATGGGGATCGATTCCGACCAGCGATGCTAGGGCTTGTTGGCCGTTAGTGCAGGTGGTTTCACTGGATGGATATCTGGTTAGCCTCAACCTTGAAGTCCCGAACGAGTTTCTGATCAGAGCGTGTTGTCTTAGTGTTCAAGGGAGGAAGCTCCTACATGATCTGACGCAGAACGGGCACGGCCTTGCTGCAGAAATTGCTGCGGTTGGATAGAGCGGCAAAGGTCTCGAGGGCATCCCAGAGGATCGCCTTGGACTCGTCGAACTCGAACTGCGTTTCCGGGGACATGAGCGTCACGGAGAGGACGACGGCCGCGTGGAAGGCGTGGAAACTGCCGAGGTTGCTGTTGTACCACTTGTAGGAGGCGTACGCAGGCGACTCGTGGAGAGCTTGGTAGATCGCCAGCGATGCCCGGGCGGAGGAGACGCTTTTGGTCCGCGCGGCATATGTCTCTGGGGTGAATTCGCCTTGCAAATAGGCGCAGAGACTGGGGCGGAAAAGGAGAAGAAGGAGGTGATGGATGTTGCTGTAGAGGATGTTGAGGTTGGCCTGGTGTGGCGGTGAGATGGGTTCGAGGCCGGAACTGGGCTTGTACCGCTGGTCGCACATCTCACGGACGGATTGAATCTGGGTCTCGAGCTGGTATGGGCCGAATCTCGGGGACGTGTTGAATAGCGCATCGCACACCATCATCAGAACTCTGTTGAGATGAGATTCTAACAGTAGGTACGTCATGTGCGTGGGATGCGTCGGTTGGCCCGAGAAAGAACCCGTTAGCAGGTCAACATCGTTGATGTCTAAGGGTGGCTTCACATCGTTGGGTGTGATGGTGTTATGAAGACAGCCAGAGGCTATGCTCTGGACAGTAAATAGCGAGGTGAGCCCCATCCAGGCACGTCTGCGCTCCTCCTGTTCGATGAGTCCGAGATCGAATCGGCTAGGATCAACGTGGCAGCCCATGGAGATGGCTACATGATGCGAAAACCCTAGCAGGGTCCAGATGGGAAGACCACGGTGGACTCGAGCATAGTTGACGAGGATCAGACACTGGAGTGAGTGGATCGAGTGTCGAGAAAGGACATTATCTGCTGCCAGGCATCGCAGTGAGGCCGACCGATAGCGTGCGGATAATGCCTTGATATTTCGACTAGCCGTCTTTTCGCGCCCAATGTCGGAGAGTAAAATCTCATCGTCTTCGAGTGCGGTGACAGCAATAGAGAGAATCGCAAACAGAAGCGCAATCCATGCGGTGGTCACACTGTTGGCGTCGTGGCAGAATTGTTGGTACTCGGTTTCGAAGGTGAGGTCGTGAAGAACGTGAAACAGCTGGTTGCTGAGTTAGCAATTTCCTCTCAGATCGAGACTCTCGCGTCAAAGAGCTACAAGGCTGACAGGAAACATGGCAATCACTTACAGGCGAGAAGACTCGTAAGTATATTTCCTTAAGAGCATCGCAATATCGGCGTGGGGGTAGGATCGCTAACAGCTCATCCCTAGAAACATGATTTTTGGCGAATGGCAGCTGTAGATCATCACTCTCGTCGGGGATTTCGGTCTCGATATTGGGTGCTGACTGACCCCTGAAGATCGGAGGACTGTTCACCCACGGCAAGTAACGAACGTATCCGGCATTGAATGTCTGTAGAGAGCCGGCGCCACTGGGTAATCGGGATCTGAGTTCTCGGGATCTAACATCAAACGCAGGCTCAAATTCGGCTCCACTTTCGGTCCCGCTGGGCGATCTCTGAGTCTGGGGTGACATAACGTCGTTGGACTGAATGTGAACCTGTTCGTGAAGCAATTCTTCGAGATTGTTGATTCGTGCCAGCATCTCATTCTGGTCAGGTGGAGCAGCCGTCATGGCTTGTTGGGAAGCAAGTCTCGGCTGACCCAGGTAAATACAGTCCTCTGCACCCAGACCACGACGAACACAAGTCTGGCAAGGGCGCCCGTCACGAGAGCAGCGGATTTTCCTCGTTCTGCATGCCTGGCAGCTGATAGGCAATCTCTTTCCGGTCGAGCGGTTGGAGGTAGTCATGATGGCGCTGAAAAATTAACGCAGAATAGAAAGCTAGCGTCGGAGCTCGCCCTTGCACAAGGGTAATCTAGAACAAAGATATGCCAGGATGGGACAGAAGGCCGACGCGGCACCAGCCAATTTACCTTTTGAATCTCAGGGTGCAGAAGAACACAGCATGCTAAGTGAATGGTTCTAAGGATGTGTTGTGTGCTCTTTATATCGAGGTAAAATCTGTCTAGCAGCCCATGAGCAAGGAGTCTTGTACCGGGTCATCACCTACAATGTCCCTTTTCGGCATCGCCGGTCTAGTCGAATTTTTTTGGGCCGATGCTCAAGAACCATGAATGCGCTGGCGTGGTGCTAATTCAACCGAGAAAAGTAAGAGAAGGAAGCTGCTTCACGGAGAATTCCGTCCCAGTGCGACAACGTTACTATCAGTTTAAACTGTCGCGTCCGAATCGGTTAGATCGCAGCTTGCATCTAAAAACTCTTCTGCTGCCTCCGTATCCATCACCTATAATCCCCGTAATAATAGCCCCTGACAAGGACCTCATATTGATTTGGTGGTGGAAAAATTCTAGAAGGATACAGTGTTGACCAATCCGTGCTTGAGGATGGCCGGATCAAAGGGAAGACCCAACGCCTATGGGGGATGAGCGCGGAATGGCGATGACGTCTGCCAGCATCGATAGTGCATCAAGTCGGGTCGACGGCATTGTGGGGCTTGACCTTCGAACCGTCGCCATCATTGTGTCCGGTGGATTGTGGCTAGGTGCATACAGACTGAGTCCATTCCTGCATCACCGCCACAGAGAACCATGGTTCAGAATCCTCTAGTATGTCCATCCTGGCAAGAAAGGGGGTCGTTATGAGACTAATCCGTAAATCTATTTGTCCTTCTTGCCAATCATTGTTCTTGTTTGAGCTTGCTTTGCACCAAAGGCCCATATTTCCCCCGAAAGGGGCTCCAGCCACAGTTGGGGTGAGATTCACTGCACATGGTGCTCTGGTCTGCTGTCAGAATATCAGCAGTACCCACCATGCTAGCGTTTTGGCGAATCCCAAGGGAGATGGCGCCCCAGCGGTTTTGAGCCACAGAATAGATTGAGGCGAGGGGTCAAAGCGGCAGCCATTATTCGATTGCTGACACGGTTGATCCCCGTAGGGCACGTATGCTAGGTCCACGGCTCAAAAGCACCATGCAGGGATTATCGTGCAGACCCTCCTTTAACGGAAAATCCATAACAACTGCCTTCAGCATGTAAAGCGGGGTTCAGATCACGGTGATTGAAGCATTACTGGATTGCTCTTCTCTCGATTGCTGATAACAGCGTAAAGGTGATACTGAGCATGCAGTAGGTGTAGGGTCCTTTCAACCCGCTTGGCTGCTTAAGCAACACACCGAAGACCGCAGTGTCCGAGATCCGACTTCGGCAACTCCAGATCTCGCGGGAGAAGTTTCCAGTACTTTACACACGGTTAAGGCGGATGAGACTGACGCATCCGACCAGCGTCTGAAGAACCTAGCTGAATGATAAAAATTTTCACTGGATCCCTGCCGTAGCTGAGGGGCCTCAAACATGATGTTTACTAAATTAGAGGATGAAGAGGTTTGCATAAGGTGTCCGAAACCGATGGTATGACGGCTGTCATTCCATGGTTGGGCATGATCTGGATAACCATGCTCTGATTTCCATGGGAATAATGAACCCGCAGGGACCAAGACCAGATTGAACCTTCTGGTGAGACTTGCAGATACTCGTAGATCAAAGAAGATAGTGGTTGTTGATGACGATGGAAGATGATGAAGAAAAAGAAGATTATGATGATGATGATGATGGAAGTTGCAATTGTCACAAGGCAAGAAGCAGTTCCTCAAGTGGGGGATCACCTGGTTTGCCTGGTTTGCCTGCCCTCGTGGCCTCAGGTTTCATTATCTGCCCCTCCCTCTTTCTTGCTTGCTTCATCTGTGCTTCCTCCACTTCATCATCGTTCATCAACTTTATTGCGTCCTTTCACCTTTCACCTTTCACCTTCCACGCTCCACGTTCCACATTTCCTCCCATACATGCTGCATGCTACATTATGTTACACTTGACGCAAATCGAAAAACTCTGAGCAGATGACAGATGATCAGTGAATGAATGAATGAAAGCCCCAGCAAATCACCACTGCGGCCCGGCATACTTAATCTTTGGCGAGGATTGGACTAATCCCTCTTCTGGTGCCCGTTTTCTTACTCGGAGCAGTCATCTTTGACTACCCTGCATTCTATTTCGTCTTTCTGACGACGGTGTACGCCTGCCTTGTTTCGTCCTCGAATCAAGTTGAACCTTCGTACAGCCTTCCGCCGACGCCCGTCGGTTGTTGACACTCGGCAGCCTCTCTCATCAGCCTCGCTTACCCCACTTCGCTGCAGTCCCTCCATCTTCCCGTTCTTCTTCTCAAAACTGCCTCTCATCTCTCCTTCATCTTTTCTTGCATAAGACAAACTCGTTTCTTTCCATCACTTCACTATTACCTTCACACATTTGGAGTTGTATTCTTCATGTCATACGTCTACAGAGAGCGCGATCGCGAGCGGGACTGGGATGACTCCCGCTCGACCGTATCTATCAAGCGTTACGTCATCCCCTCGGAGGAAGAGCGTGAGCGTGATCGTGAGCGTGATTTCTTCTATCGCCATGAGGACCCGGCCGGCCAAGAGCTGGTTATCCGGCGCACTCATGAGCGAGAGGAGCCGGTGATGATCCAGAGGTACGAACGAGAGGTTGACTACGACTCGCACCCACTTGACTACCGCTCCGAAAGAGACTATTACGAACGTGAGTATTATGTGCCCGGGCGCATTCGCAGTCACCCCGCCCCCGTTATCATTCGTGAAACTCAGCCAATAATCCTTCTTGAAGCACGCGGCCCCGTCTACGTCAATCCACGAGAGTCTGATTATGATATTGTGCGACGGTCGGAAGTGGATCGCGAGCCTGGAGGCTATTACTATCATCGTCGGGTCCGCGAGTGGGATGAAGACCGTCGCTCCCGACGCGAACTTAGCCCCAGCGACTCTGTCTCACAGGCTACGCGCCGTCGCGATGAAGAGGACTACAGCAGCGATGAGAGCATTGTGTACATTCGCAAAGAAACACGGGAGTACGATGATCATCCCCATCGGCGGCGACATCTAGCCGAGGGTGCCCTAGTAGGTGTCGGGGCCGCAGAACTTCTTCGCAACCATCACAAGAAAGAAGGAGAAGAAGTGCCCGAGGGAGTTGGCCGTCTGGGACGGGACGTCGGTGCCGGTGCATTGGGTGCCATCGCTGCTGAAGCAGTCTCACGTGCAAGAGAGCACTATCGCAGCAAGAGTCGTCATCGCTCCCACTCTTTCGATGACGATCGCAGATCACACTCCCGTCATCACCGCCATCATCGTCATAGCCACAGCCGTCGAAGTCGCAGTCGCTCTCACTCCCACTCGCGCGCGCGGACGCTCGCGGAACTCGGCCTAGGTGCCGCTGCTATTGCTGGGGCTGTCGCCCTGGCACGAAACAAGTCCAATTCCAACAAGGACAGACGCAGCCGGTCTCGTCACCGCCGTGCTGCCAGCTCCACACGGTCGTTGCCACTGAACAAAGATGGGGAGCGCAGCCAGTCCAAAAGTAGAAAGCATATGGCGGAGGCTGGCCTTGCTGGAGCAGCAGTGGCAGGCCTGATCGAGAGGGCCCGGAGCCACTCACGTCCAGGGCGACGTGATCGGTCTCGGTCCAAGAGCGTCATCAGGAAAGCCCTGCCAGTACTAGCGGCCGGCCTTGGGACAGCTGCGGCTACTGGATTATATGAGAAGAACAAGGACAAGAGAGAAGCCTCACGCAACAGGGAACGTCGACGCTCACGATCTCGCAGCCGCGCCCCTTCAGAGGTTTACTCTGATCCAACAAAGTCCTCTCCTGGTCTGATCGAGTACGGAGAACACCCAGTCCATGGTAGTATTCCTGCCAACTATTACGGTCGGCCTGGGAGCTCACATGGATACTACTCGGATGCATCTGACCCGGTTGCAAGTGGCGCAGCAGGCTTCGGATCAACAAGGCGCCGGCCTTATAGCCGCAGTCGTAGTCGCAGTCGAGGCCGGGCAGCTCGCTACAGTAGTGATTCGTCCGACTCAGAAATTGACAGCCGGAGAAGACAACGAGGCGGGCACGAACGGCATCGCAGTCGCTCGCGGGAATTCGCCGAGGCTGCTTTAGGAGCTGCAGGAGTCGGTTACGCAGCCCACAAGCTTGCGCAGCGTAATGAGCGTAAGAAGGCAGAGCGAGACCGAGACAGATCGGGTAAGCGAAGGTTGAGTCTCTTGAAGTTTCCAAGTGCTGACCAATCATGAGCCAGATGAAGAAGCTCCGTACCAGCATGATCCGTATCCGCCATCTCCTGCTGCCCCTCGGCCGATCGACGATCACCAGTACTACCCTAACACCAATCACTTTCCTCCACCCCCTGGCTCCGCGCCTCGCACGGAACCAGCACCTTACAACCCTGCCGATTACCCACCTCCACCCGGCGCTGTGCCACCGCAGCCGTATGCTCATCCTGCGCATCCTGAGTCAGACCCGTATGCACCTCGGCCCCGAAGGGTAGAAGAGAATGTGAGTGCCGCATGGAAAACTCCCCATCGCCCCGTTGCCCAGGATCACATATCATATGGTGCGTTCAGGGAAGGCTGCCTTGCATACAAAGGGGCCCTTGCTGACATGGCATGTAGGTCTAGATGCACGATCATCGCTAAGAACCCCGCGCCCGAAAAAGCGACCACCCCGCGCCGCCAGCCAGCCGGCAAGGCCGAAATCGGTTGCCTTTGACCTTGAATCGAAACATGAAGGACAGCATGATCCAGGATACGAAACGGATGATAGTGACTCTACCATTGCATCAATACATGGCTATGGGCGCAACCGCACTCCACGCCGGCGCCACTCGTCCTCTGAGCCGTTCGCTGCACGTACTCGGTCTGAAGATCGGTGCCGCAAAGATGGGGCGGAATCTGATTCCGACTCTACTATTGATTTGCCTGACCGGTTTGACTCGCAGGGACGCCTTTTACCCCAGCCCGGAGATGATCCTTTGGCGGACGGATTGGAGACACTGCTCAGGGGAATCAACCGTGTCTTTGTTTAACTGACTTTTGTGGTTTTGTTTGTGCACCTTATCTTTCTTTCCTTGTTATGCCTAATGTTTCTTTTCTCACTAATGTAGTAACGACGTGATGATCATGACAATCTCGGTAGTTAATGAATGAATGGATGGATGAATGTCAATAAAGTCCGACGTCCGGCCGAAAGGATTTCCATGGAGTATGCAGGAGGGCGGTCACTTATCGTCACCTGCCGATCCGCTGATCTGATCATTTGCCTAAACTGGTGGCATGCATGAACCATAACCCTATCAAGCAAGTACTCGAGAACATGCAGAGGTACGGAGTCTGCAGTGGTTAAGTTGGGTTCACTTACTTGTTACCTGAATATGGTGGAAGCGCCGTCTTCAGTTCCGCACACCATCCCGTGCACAGTAACCTGTATGTACAGTACAGTAACTCCACGCCAGAAGAGTCCACCCCTGAGCCTCGCCAGGGTCTTCCTTCTTTCAAGCCCCTTTTCCTGTTCACATTCCCATCATCCCATGTAGAAGAATTGAATCACTGCACACACAACTACCGGTACACCTGATTCATATGATCGTCAGGAGTAAACTCGACCCAGGGCCAGCGCCAACCCTGATTGCCGTAGACGGGACGGACGGCATGTACCTAGTATGAATCCCCCCCCCCCTCTCTCATCCCCATTGACAGCACAATACATATCACAATTTTATAGGTCAACTTGTAACTAGCTATAGAAGACGAAGCCTTTTTTCGTTTTTGTGTTCGTTTCCATACCTAGCTCTAGCTTCGGAGCCGAGCGCGGGGCGGCTCCGGGGGGGGCAGGGGGGGGCGAGGGGGCACACGCCCTTTTTTGCTTGCTTTTTCATTTCCATAGGGGACCTTTCTTTATTTCCTGCCTGCCTGGCTACCTGCCTTCCTTGAGGAAGGGAATATGAATAGGGGATGGCCTGGTATTGATGAGAAGATGCGTCACCGATGCGAGGGATAAAACGGCCCGGTGGGTGGGGGTTGAAGCCTGACGGTACTATATCCGCACCATGTTTCTTCTCCTCCTCCAATTTGTAGAGCCCTTCCACGGGACATAGGCTATTCAGCTGGTTTACTACATGATCAGGATAATTTCTTAAGAGCCAGATGAGAAAGATTCCAATACTTCTAGGTGACGAACAGGACAGACAAGCGCATATCCTGAGCCTTCTCGTTGCGGCGGAAAGTGAGTGATACTTCTTTCTCTGAGCCTATCCTTCGTAGACAACCTCCACCCGCTGCGAATGGGGCTTCGCATCCGGATCCTCCTCGCCTTGCTCGCCGGCCGCGACTACCTTGTCGCCAAACGACGCGGCAATCTCCTCCAGGGTCTTGCGTTTGGTTTCCCTATTACCCGTTCCGCGCACGTTAGTCATATCACCTTCCAGTAGTCTCTTGCTTTCCGTCTTCACAAGAAGGTAGAAGAATAAGTCCGTGGAGAAGAGACTTACGGGAAGTAGAAGTAGGCAATAACCAAGAAGAAAACAGTGCAGGCCACGAAGACGTAGTAGTAGTTCTCGTGGATATTCGCGAAGGCGCTGGGGCCGGCTTCGGTGACTGCGTCATGAAACAACCATAATAGTGTCAGTAGATGTTCTGCGGGGCGTTTGAGGGGAGGTACTTGTCGTGGCGAATGAGGAGGGAGGGGCAATCCTACTTGCGACGTTGACTATAAAGTGAGATGCTGCGGCCAGTCCCATGATCTTGCTACGAAGCGCAATGGGCAGAACCTCGGCGCCGTATAGCCAGGTGGTACTGTTGAGCATGCCATCTGTGCAAGTTTATGGCACTTAGTAATCGGGAATATGGGGATATGGGTTGCGTTTCTTCTGCGGACATACAGTAGACCACCACAAACAGGTAGATTCCCAGGATGGCAAAGCCTTTCCCGACTCTATTGTCCGTGTTCTGGAATTCTCGCTGCATGACGGCGGCATATATTTCTATGATGATGATTCCTGCGAGCCCCGCTAGGATCATACTTTGTTTAGTTAGCTTCTGGGGTGACTGGGATTTTGTGGGTTGGGTTGGGCTGGAGACATACTTGCGACGGCCCCACTGATCTGTGAGATACTTGGTGGTGAGGCAATTAGTTATAAACGCGACGGTGCCGTATACAGCAGCTAGGGCTAAGATGGTGTGGGAGTCAATGCCGAGGGATTTGTAGAGTGTTGCTGGTTCAAAGCCATCAGTTTCCTTCGTCATTGGGGGGGAGCCTAGGTGGGCAAGAATACGCACTTTGGTAGTACTGTGGCTCTGTTAGCATCTTATCTTCATCGGGCTTGTGAGAGACATACCTGGATGACGTTTACGCCGGTAAGACTCGTCATGGTCTGCACGGCGATCGAGCTATTCGACCGAGTCAGTGGAGTCAGGCCTCCCTCGTGTATCTTGCACATGGACCTACACTAATGCGCGTCGTCGAAACATGCGGAAGATATCTTTGTAGGAGGTTATCTCTCTCTCCTTCTCGTACTGAATCTGCGCAACCATCTCCGAAAACTCCTGATGAGCCTCGTCCGGACGTAAATCCCGCCGGCCTCTGATGAACTCGCTGCGCGCCTTCTCAATTTGACCTACGCGAATCAAGTGGCGTGGAGAGTCGGGCATGAAAGTGACCAGTCCGGCGAACATGATGATGCCCCATGGGACTTGGATCGCCAGAGGGACCCTCCACTGGACCTGACCATAGGGTGCATAGCTACAGGCGTATCCGACCCAGTTCGAAGCCATCGTTCCGAATGCAATGCCGCAGCCTGAGATACCCCCAATCAAGCCGCGATAACGAGGGGATGATATCTCGCTGAGATAGATCGGGACTGTGGCGACCATCCCGCTACCAACGCCATGATCAGTTCCCTCCTCGATTGTTGGTTCACGTGCCCGGGTACAACTTACCCAACAGCATACCCGGCCAGCAGGCGGCCAGCAAGGAACATTCCGATGTTCACGGCCGCGGTCTGGATGACTGTCCCGATGGTGACAACAACACACGACATCTCCATAAAGCGAAGTCGACCGAGTTTATCTCCGATTGCAGTCTGAGTGAGCGCGCCGCATGCTTCGCCAGCGATGTACACCGATACAACCTACACGGGATTAGATATAAAAGCCCGGAAAAGAGGTCTTTCTGACTTACGGCTCCTGTCAGGCCATTTGACGGGTGATTCATGTAGTCAATCCAGCTTTCATGGGCGATTGCTGAAGAGCCGTTAGCTGTCGTCGTGGGAGGGTCGCTGCACTAGGGTCTCTCACTTGTCGTAGCGATGCCTGTGTCAAATCCCTAGAAATAGCTTATGTTAGCGACGGGATAGCCCTCAGACGCGACACGAGCCTGCCTTACAAACAAAAACGTTCCGATGGCAGCAAATATTGCCACACCAAAAGCATACCAGACCGCCATCTTGTAGCAGAAAGAGGGATTGAAGCCGAAGAGAGACTAGTATCATGCATACTCTTCCTGACAGTGAAGAGGTGACGCGTGAAGGCGCTGGGCGTGCGGATATATAGCTGCACGGCCATGAGCCGAGGGTGCAGTTGTACGACGTCAACATCGACTCGGAGGATGGCCGAGCAATGACGACCAATCCGGGGTATGAAGTTGGGGAAGCGGGCCAGAGTTTGAGTACCCCGTATTCTGTAGATCAGACCTCAATCATGCCAGCCGCAATGCCGCCAGTTTCCCCGCACTCGACGGGAAGCATAGTCTACAGTTGGTTGTTCGGTAGTTGATGGCCCGAGAGGTACAGTTGCATATCTTGCCTCGTGGTAAAGGCTTTGTTGTTGTTTCTTTCAGAGATGGGTTCGAATGATACGATGGCAGAAGTGAGGGCAGTGTTGATGACAAAGATGACGGCGTCAAGGAAAGTCATGAAGTCACATCTGTAGATGAACGCATGGACAATCGAAGTACGTAGCGGGTGGACCGATGGATAGATAGATCCCTTGAAATGCGGGGGATCCCATCCCGCCCCCGTGACAGCCAGGATTGGCGTGGGGGTGACTGGATTAGTCTCGTCTTCGGCTGGATGGTTTTGGTTAACTGGTTAATGATTGTGGTAGACAGGATAGTATCACGCGTACTCCGTAGTTATGCTTTCAATCCTACGATATATATCTGGTAGCCAGCTTACCGAAAAGAGTCAGCATGCAGTGCTAGGCTAATAAAGGACCTTTTCAGCGAGTCCCATTGGACATAAGAACCAGCATTCTAACAGGATTAGCCAGCCTCACTAGCCTTGAGCTATGAAGCAGACTCTACGAATTCTCTAGAATACTTTCATGGTATATATACAGTACTATACCTAGTACAGTCCATACGTAACTAGTAGTCCTCACTCCAGCCGATCGAAACATCCCCCGCTAAACCCAAACCAGATGCCCCCCTAGTTTAGTCTAGCGCGTCAATCAAGCGAGGCTAGCATTACTAGCGCCCTTTTGCCTCCGGGTCTCCCTATATAAAGTGCAACCGCCCGGCACCCTTTTAGAATTTTTTCTCTTTTCTTTTCCAGCTCTCTTTGCCTTTTGGCTTAGATCAAGTGTAGTATCTGTTCTTTTCAGTTTAATCTCTGAAAGTGTTCTAAGGAACACAACATTGATTAATCTTATTTTTGTACTCTGCAGTCTGACCTCTGTGCTTGCGCATGTCGGACTGCACAGTGTCATCGGGCTTACACTACCCCCGATCGACGCGAACCCCTTTTTTTTTCATCAATCTGGCCGGCTTGTCCGACTGCTTGGAGAAGAAAGTATTAAGTAGTATTTTTGTGTTAGGTAGTGGATGAGTTGTATGCAGAGTAGAAATGCTATCTACCTTCTCATAGGCAGTGTAAGTAAGCCGTAGTCTCGTTCCATTAGATCGTGTTGGTGGTTGCAAGGCTTGGGAGGCACGGGTTTGCGATCAACCGTTCCATATCATATCACCGTTCTCTCATAGATCTACAAATGCTGCTACGCGGTATCAGGAACACGGGTAATTTCGTCAAGAGACTCGTCAACTAGGAGTCATATATTCTTTTTTTCTTTTGAATATGAGGACCCTATTTCATTTTCCATTGCCATTGTCATATGCCACCGCCGGATTAGCAATGCAGGAAACCCAGAGCCGAACAAGAAAATCGCAAATTTAGAAGACAAGAGCAGCACCCTTGGTCTTCTTGTCTCCACTGTTGGTCGAGATCGATTAGCATCTGCCGAGAGATAGGGCGCGAAGTCGGGCAAAACATACCCAAGCTCGAAGTGCTTGCAGCGCTTCAGGGAGAGCTGCTTCTTCTGCTTGCAAGCAGTGCACTCAAGACGGAGGACGATCTTCTTGGTGGTCTTGGCCTTCTTGTGGAAGACGGGCTTGGTCTGACCACCGTAACCGCTCTGCTTCCGATCATAACGACGCTTACCCTGGGCGAACAGGGAGGCCTAGAGGGAAATCACAAATTCTGCATCAGTACGCCGCTCGTTGTTCGAAGAATTCCTCAGAGGCGAGGCGGGGTGGTGCTATTCACCTTGCCAGCCTTGTACTGGGTGACCTTGTGCTGGGTGTGCTTCTTGCACTCCTTGCCCTTGCAGTAAGTCCGGCGGGTTTTCGGAACGTTGACCTGAATTCGAGAGAATAATGAATCAGCCTCTGCGGGTGAAGATGTATTTGTCACTGGACGGCAAGTATAGTGTGTTCCCGGGTGTCTTGCGTCGTATTGTTCATCGGCGAGTGGCGCGGTACTGAATCTTGGGGAATATTGAGCATTGATCGTTGCGTTCAGGCAATAGCGAACCAATTTTGGCACATTCTTTCTTGTTGCAGGCCGATGATCTCGTCCAGATTGCACAAAGTATTCCTTTCGAACGCCTCACACCAAAAATTATCGCTTCGGAATTGCCATGTCGAATTCTTCTTCATTGTCGGCCATTTTTGTCATCTTTTTCGGGTGCCATAACTGTCGGTCGCAGGCGATTCGTACGGGCTCGTAGCTGGGAATCCATCCATCGGAGAAGTATCGAATATCGCCCACTCGCTCTTCCAACATATGCCGATTTGTCGAACAAAAATTCTCGGACGCCCAGGAACACGGAAACAAAGGTGAGAAAATTAACGGGACAACATCCTTACCATTTTGACTGATTTGGCCGGATCGCGAACTTGGTGGTCGTTGATAGTCTCTTGTCGGGGAGGATCAAGTCGGGCTGGCGGCGGTGCGGTGGGTTGTGGGATTTCGTTCGCTTAGGGTGCGGCCTAACCGCGTTTGTGTGTCAGCAGCCAAGACTGACTGTATCATGCCTCAGGCAACTATAGCTATCGGGCCCTCTTCCGCTTTTGTTATCATTTCAACCATTGGTATGAAACAGACCATAACTAATTACCCCGATGACTTCAACTGAAGGTTGGCAACCTCTATCGGTGTCTACTTCATGAGTCTCTACCTAGTATCTCAAAAGCCTTTCCCTACATGGGCACACTCTCCGCCTCCATAGAATGACCTCCCAACACAGACTTCCAGCCCTCGCTCCTCTCCCACGATCCACTCGCCTTTCCGAGGTATGGGCTCTCGTTCACTGGGCCAATATTCCGCCCGGAGCCTCTCATTAATTGACTCAAATTTTCGAATCAGTAAGGCAATTTGATCTTTATTGACCTGTTCCACCCCGGCTGGACCAGGCGTCTCCAGCAAGAACCCCTCGCGAGTGATGAATCGTGCGATGGTGATATGCGCCGACGGAGCAATGTACCTGGGCTTCATGGGCAGTCCGATTGCCGCAATCTGCGCGGAGACGTCTCTTCGTAGATGGTGGTAAGTATACTGATCATCGTGGCCTTCTTTCTCGTGGGCATGGCCCATCATATCCCCACCAGTTTCAGGGACAAAACTCAGAGCCATTGCCGTCGCATCGTAGCTAATCACCGGCTTGAATAGCCGTGTGCGATGGTGGAAGGTGCAGTCCGTCAACTGCGGTATGATCCCACTGCGCTGCAGACGAGTGACCAGGCCATCTATCTCTGGTTCCGTCCGGCAACTAGCTATCTCCAGGGTAGTCATGTGTAGATAGTCTGAAGGTGTAAACCAGAGGCCTAGCCATTGTTTCATGTCCAAATCAGCGTTCGTACTCGGCGACTGGGCCCAGAGTTAGTCCAAAGGGCGGGTAGGATGCACGAACTAGGAGCAACATCCCTGATCTCTCTTTGGATCTCAGCCACTAGGTCTCGAATATGCTGCGGTGGACGAGCGAGGATGGTTAAGCTGTGTCGCGGGTCAATGAACGGTGCTGTCGCAGTGCTACCTTGTTCGTTGTTTGCTTGTTCATGCAGGCGTGCAAGAATATCGTCGATCTGCCAACCGGAGAAACTGGGATCGAGCAGCCGTTCCTTTTGTTGGATGTTTCGATTGGTTCGATGGGCTTCGTAGCGAGCTTGGAGTCGTGTCTGTCAACGGATGAGTGTGCCTGGTTCGAAGATCTAGCCATGGAATCCTCCTGGGTGAATACCGGGTCATTGTGGCATTCCGCAATGAGTTCATTGAACGGATTAGATGTTTGGTCAGTAGTACTCATTTTCGTGGATCCAGTAAAGAGGATGAAGAAAGGCAAGTCTAAGTAGTGAGTGCGTTGGAGCTTACGAAGAATTGAATCTGTGGGGATGATGAGGTGCCACTCAGTGCCGCTAGTTGCTATATATAACGGTCCATAAACCCAAGCATAAGGCCGGCAAAGGTCGTTGATAAGATGCTCGAGCTATCCTCTCTCCGTTATAGTCATTTTAATATCCATCAAGCAGAATGACTCTTAATTACTACTTGTATCGAGTTTCCAACGACACTACTAAGAGTAGGACCGCTGTGCAGCTCCTGGGTCTTATGGGTATTCAATTAAATACTATTGTTGCTCTCGCCGGGCCTCCTCCCAAGTCCGATGCCCCACCAGAAAGCGACCCCGCCGCGGCTTTCCGTCACGGAAACAACCCTCCTCTATGTTACTGCTTACTACTACCCCAACTCACATCTCGCATACCCGGTCATAAGTCTTCTTGCGCTGCGCGATCGCAACTATCCTCAATTATTACCCGATCCTTCACCATATAGACCGTCCCACCTTCTCAAAATGTTGATCAAGTGAGTGAGCCTGCGGCGCGCCGTCCAGCCCGGCCCCGACTTCTCCACCCCCCAAGCCCATGACGCAGAGGGGGAAACACCAAGTCGTCGGAGCATCGGTCATGAACCAAACTAGCTAACCATCATATTTCCGCTGCAATACAGAGTCCGTACTCTCACCGGCAAGGAGATCGAACTCGATATCGAGCCCGACTACAAGGTACCTACCTACCTACCTCCTTCCCTTACGTCGCTTACCTTCTGCTCCACCTCCCCTCCCCTCCCCGGCGTGTCTGTGATTCCGTGCGTCGCCGTGTAACGAGGAGACGAACGAGGCAGGCAGCAGACCATCAGCCCAGGCTGCCCCTCAAGCCCAAGAGAAGAATTTCTCTCGAAGCTCTCACCACAGCAACAGCATCGGCTAACCAATCTCCAAACACACCGCAGGTCTCCCGCATAAAAGAACGTGTCGAAGAGAAAGAGGGCATCCCCCCGGTCCAGCAGCGACTGATCTTCGGTGGCAAGCAGATGTACGCCTGCCCTTTCCCAACTCCCGAACCTTTACTTCAATCGAATGTGTTCCAAGCCCGGAGGAGAAAGAGAAAACTCACCCGTGCTTCGAAAAAACAGGGCCGACGACAAGACCGCCGCAGAATACAACCTCGAAGGTGGCGCCACACTACACCTGGTCCTCGCGCTTCGTGGTGGGTTTTAAGAGCGAAAAGGACTAGAGAGGAAAGGAGGGAAAGACAGATGCCGATTGGTAGCTGTGTTGTGCATGGAAAATAAATATCGGTTCCTCCCTTGACAGTTATGTCACCACCATCATACTCATACTCATACCCATAATCATGCCTATCTACCCCGTTGCTACGCTTCAGGAACTGGTTTCCTGGAATGAAAACATCATCATGGCCGTTTTGCTTTGCTCCATCACAGGCGTATAGAGTCGAGTCGCGTATATGTCGCTTTCATCCTTGGACCCTAGCGCGATATTGAACTGTGGTTCAGCAGCAATACAATAACAGACCGCTCATCAACTTGTTTGCGGTGTGCGAAGCGCGGTTATTGATGGGTTGGAGAGGTTTGCTGCTGTAAATCATAGCTGGGAAAGAAGAAGTATATGTATACGTGGATCACGTTGCAGTGTAGCAGAGGGTATATAAGATTCATAGACCTCGTACGGAATATAAGTTCAGACCAGTTCGCCTTAAAAACCCGTTCTAGATATGACCACCACCAGCAGATAGGAAAAACTCCTTGCGCCGAATCTGAAGCCAATCATGTCTGAAGTGCGCTCTGATGGAGGAAAAGAGGAAGACAAAAAACGCAAATCATCGGAATAGTATAGGGGCAAATAGAATGACGGTCAAAAAGATGCGGGTGTACCGGCCATTGTCGGAAAGGACAGCACGGCCCACGTCCAAGAGTGGTGTATATATGGCTCAAAGAAGAAATCATCATTCGAATATCATATACCAACTTATATGTCAGTTCAGTCTTTTCTTCTTAGGTTGGAGGAAAGGATTAGCGGGCGCAGGTCTTTTCCGAACTATAGGAGGACGGGCTCCAGGCGCGGTCGAGTCACCTGCATCTGTCTGTGGCCTAGTCAGTCAAGATCCTAGCACAGAGAATATCAGTTAGGATTGAAAAGAGAGGGGAAACAAACCGTAGAGGGTGATCCCGCCACTCCTGGGCGTGTAGTCCGCGCCGTGGTTTCTGAAGCAGGCGAAATCCCCAAAGTGCCTGCTGGTCGTCCGGAGGCTATTGCCCGGAGTCGAGCTTCTCTATCCCGGAGGGTGGAGTTGACTGCTAGGTTATTCTGGCCTGCAGAGACCGCAGCACTCTGCATCCGGGACCGTCCGGGTGCCCTCATAGCTAGAGCCATGTTATCTCGTCGGCGGGGGACGGGAGGCTCGGCAGGACGCCGATGTTCTTCAATCAAGGACCGTGGAGCCTGTCTGACCTGCGAAGCTCTGTTGTTCAGCTGCTTTGTTGGGATGGCCAGCACACTATTGCGCTTCGTGGCGGTGAAAATGCTGTTCTTCTTCTTTGTCTCCCGTGGTACGGAGGGTCGTTCGAATTGCCAGGAAGGCGTTCCTAACGGATCTGAGGAGCCCAGTCCAGTCCTCGCGGGAGTGAATACTGGTTTGATACCGCCCATCCTCCGATCGTAGGAAGCGTAGCGCTGCTTCGCAGTAGGCCTCTGACCGGGGAGGCGCCGGTCCGTGATGAATTTGGCACTGTGCTTGGCTCTCTCAGAGCTGATCCCATCCAGCGCCATCTTGAGTTTCTCTGCATCCTCATCAACTGCCCGTTGTACTTCTTCCTGAAGCTCGCGATATACGTCATACCAGCAATCTGACTTCTCGGGCACAGCGTCCCTGTGCGATTCTGGAATGTCCCGCTCGATGAATTCACGCCATATTTCTTCGTCATCGCGCATGAGATGAGGTGACTGGATTTCCAATGCTCTCTGTAAGATCATGGGCGAACGGTTAGTCTAGAGCCTTCTTCCTATGGCCCAGCGGCGATTGCGCGACTCACCAGTTTCTCCGGACTCTCCACCTTGAGGAGGAACGGACGAGCAAGGGCATAAGGGATGTTTCCGATATCATTTAAATCTAGGTAGCACCAGTATCAACGATCAGATATCTCAGAGTTGACTCAGGCGCGACCCACATTTGACGTTCCTGATCGCAGTTGCCGTGCAAAGCTGGAGTAATGAGGGCGGCGGCATTTTCTTTTAATCGGGGGCAAAATCATATAATAACCAAGTTCTGGGCATGAGATATCTATCACATATGACCAGAATGTGAAAGTTGAATGTAGAAGACATATATAGAAGAAGTCCTAAGAGCCTAAACCGCCATCGCGAGAGCAGCTCTGACCCATTGGAGTTCTTTTTATGCGCCTTTTGTCGAGCTCGAAGGCGGATGGCTACTACCTGGTACGAGGAGATCATACACCGTGGACAATGAGCTCATTGGCCCCGTCTGGTGAATAAGCCTGACGTACTGCCGAAAGACACCGCCGGCGATGATGGCTTGGGCGGTGTGCTGGCACTTCCTCGACTCCCCTCCTTCACGTGCTGATACTAATCATCTACTGCAAACAATGCAAACTGTCGTTCGATAGCATCATACCCAGTGGAGGGGCAGAACAAAGCAATTTACCCAACGCAACAAAAGAACACTCCTCAGACTCAAATCTGTGATCACAACTTTTTGAAAAGACTTTTGTATAGTACAGGTCAGTCGATCAATGCCTTTGTCATTTGTCCCAGAGGTGTTTTGAGAGCATTCCGAAACTTGAGCTTGTTCAGAGCTCTCCACTTTACAAATGCATCGAGTTCTCTAGTGCACTGCTCGCCATCTCCCCAAGCTTCAGTGAACACGCTGAATAGGGTCATGGCCTCTGCAACATGCTAGTATCAGTAGTGTGACAATACTCATCTCTATATCTACATAGATCTTTGGTCGCAATGGCACCCCGCTCTCAACTAGAGATTGCTACGGCATCTGTCCAGCGCTTGATCAAGGAAGAAGCGTCCTATCACCGCGAGCTACAGCAGCAAACGGAGAGAATCAAGAAATTCGAATCTGGCGAGGGTGGGGACGATGAGAACAAGGAGTGGACTCTGAAGCAGGAGGTCTGTACCGCCAACAAATCCCTACGCCAGTGCTGCCACTGACAGTCCTCGTACGACAGCGCCTTGCCCTCGAGGAGACTAGGAAGGTCCTTCCGACCCTGAAGCAGAAGATTGTGGATGCGATCGCTAAGCTTGATCAGTCGCTGGTACGCTGCTCTCTAACGTTTCGATTGATTCTACAAGACTAACTAGCTTTTTGCAGATCGAGGAGGGCAAGAAGGGCGCCGAGAGCAATGTCGAGCAGATCAATGCTGCCAAGGAGGCTATCTCCCAAGCCAGAACTGCAGAGCGAGAGATCTCGTAAATCAACGTTCACTAGTTCTGTCTATGCAATTATTGAAAAGTACAACATGGGAAAAGAAAACAGAATTGCTGTAAATAACAGCCACCATGAATCCAAACGCCGCCAATTAACTCCGTGCTTAATGCTGGCTCATAAAAGCTTCCGATCATCAAGTAGTATCCATTCTGTCTGTCCGATCGTCCTGCTCTTCTCCCTCTTCCAGTTCTTCTTGTACCTCGCCCTCGTCCTCCATCGTGGTGTCCAGATCAGGCGAGCGTTTCTCCTCGTCACCCGGAACCGTCACTTGCCGCAAGGGTGACGCCGCACCGGTCGTGGCTGATCTATCCACTTGCAACCCAGCTGACAGACGACCGAGCTCCTCGGGGCTCTGATGCGATGAAGCCAGGCTCTCCGAGTCGGGATGAGGCGTATTGGCCCCGCTCGATTTGCCCTTGGAGGGCACGTCGCCGTCATCGCCATCCTCACCTTCCTGCATTCCCTCCCTGCGCTCCACTTCCTCCTTCTCGTCGCGAATCAAGCGACGCAGCTGCATGCCTTCCTCAACGATGCGCCCGAACTGCTCCCGCCGCTCCGCCCACGTCTGCGCGTATTCCTTGCTCTCCTTCTCCAGATCGGTTATCTCGGCCTGCAGCTTCTGTAGGTTGGCCTGTTGGTCCTCGCGCGGTTTCAGGAGCCGGTTGCTCGTGATCTTGTCCGCCAGTTCGTCGTAGCTTTTTCGCAGCGCTAGCAGCCGTTGGGCCTCCTCGAGCTGAACCCGCAGCTCGGAGGTGTTGTCGCGGACGGATTGCATGGTGTCCAGGATGCCCAGCTTCTCGGTCGCGTACCGCTCGCGTTCCTTCTCGTTGCTCGTGAGGAGGAACTGGATGCGCGCGATGCTGATTTCGAAGGCGGCGAAATCCAAGGCGACGTCATCGCGGAAATGGCTCCAGTGCTCCTGCCGCTTTTGCTTCTCGGCCTCCGCCGCCGCCGCCGCAGCATCCGCCGCCGCAGCATCGTCGTCCATTCCATCCGGCGGAGGAGTCGGGGGCAGTGTGGTGTTCGAGACGAGGACCGAATCGTTGTTCAGGAGACGTTTCGAGATCCGCTTGAAGGGCTTTTCTTCGACATTGAGAAGGCGCGACTTGTGGAGTCCATCTGCACGAATTAGCGGGGAGTGTCGGTGGTTGAGAGTGTGGTGGATTGAGGAGGGAAATCGATACGGATTTACCTTCTTCTAGCTGATCGAGTAGCCCATAAGATGCATAGGATGCCATTGTGTAGGAAAGCCGCAAAGAAATGTGACTTTTAGCTCAGTATTGTTGAGCGGTTCGCTGAGGTGTCGGGGAAAAAGCCGATGCGGCGGCATAAAGTGAGTGGGTGAGTAAGTGAAGCGGTCGGCAGGGATCCGCGCGCTAGGCGGAAAACCAACTTTCTGCTCTTCCATCGAGCTGGTTTGTTTGCTTTCCGCTGTTTTTACTGCTACGCATGCAACCTCGGATAGATCTCGATACACTTCACTAAAATTCACCCTCCCCTAGCATTTAAGCTGGCTCGCATTATAGATTGGACTCACATTGAATACTCCCGAGCTGTTGTCAAATGTGCTCTCTGATGGAGCATCATGGTCTTTTCAGAGTGTGGGAAAGAGTTAGTTGTATGCCAGACATGGGAGTTAAGTCCGTACCTGGTCATCTTCTGTATACAGCAGCGCATCTCGAAGAAGAATGGCGAAAACTGATGTGATGCTCGACAGGCTTCTACAAAGTACTATCTACTCATGTAATTGCCTTGCCTTGGAAGGACAGCTCGGACGCTGTCGGAACGGATGGCCATGGCGCTAAGCTCCACTTTATTGAGCTTAAATCACCACGGCCTATTGCGGGTTCAAGCGTACAGTACTTGCAAATGCATGTCCAGAGACTAAGTTCCACATTCTACTATTCATACAGGGCAATGCTTGATCTTGTAAGCGCTACAGGAGGGCAGTGACAGTCATCTTGAACTACTCTGCAGTTTGCCCCCGAGCACTCCCGCCGATGGACAGGGACTGAGTTGAGACTCGGGCACAATACCATGCTACCCGAGATTTCTGCAATCTAACTCATGGTTGTTAGTGCATTGATATCAAATCTAGGTGCCTCGTCTAGTCACTGTCTTCGATATGCTGTCCATAGAGGTCTCCAAAATACTGTGCCGCTCGATTGTGAAGCCTGTGAATACAGTTTCATACACGCTCTGCCGACACCCAGGAGTCGCTCAGGCATCGGTACCACTCATGCTAGGACGAGTAGTATCATGCATGGACTAACAATTACCCAGTTTGAATGCTTTATTTCCAGAACCTCCCTGCTGAAAGCCTGTGATGATGACCTGCATATCATGATTCTCAGATCGCCCGGAATGATATTGATAGCGAGAGTCAAGGCACAGCGCCTGTGGTTCCTTAAGCGTACAGCTCTGATATTCATCCGACCTACGTAGATTGACTACTGGAAGTCAAAGCATGTTAGTTGGGTACTGGAGAAAACAATGTAGTCAGATCACGTACACAGAGGCTTGCATAGCTGGAGAGAGTGTGTGAATCACCGATTGCCACGGCCTATGCTAACAAGACAGTTGTGAATTCAAGCAGGGGAAGAGAGATGGTCTTATAAGCTGGTCGAATCTCCCATATGGAACACGTACAGTACAGTACTTCAATTATGATGGATTGTACTCAATAACTTAAGGTACCTTAATGCCAAGACCAGAGCAGCACGCTAATCCCGATCTGGTATTGCGTTGTCACCTCCACCTCTTCTGGGCTCTTCTGGGGCCAAGAAGTACTGTAAGTGCAGTGTCAGTCCACGGATTACCACTGCAATTGAAACAATTACCTAGTACTCCGTACTCCGTATTATCTTTCCAAACCCCTGGTTGTTTTCACACTCCCCATGGTTTTGACTCTACTACTTGCTTTTGATTACAGGCCCGTCGAGGGCTCCTCATAATCTCTCTACCCAGGCTGCTGCCTGTGCATGATCTTTCTAAACAGTCTCCCAAATAAAACCTGTCTATCTATCTATTTATTTAATTTAAAAAACTTACCTTCGGCCCCCGATAGGAAAAAAGCTGGGAGAAAACTGCCGCAGTACGCGCGAATGATGCCGAATCAACTAGCGCCAGATTACACACCAATGTGCTGAGAGTCTGAGGCAGTCGAAGTCTTGCTGAGGGACTACTCCCAATCAGACATCATAACATTTAATCTTCATTGCACTCTTTCTTGTACACGCGCCATCGTGATGGCGGAGATGTACTCGGGGCTCCACGTGGGCCAGCGGTTCGGCTCGCTAGAAGAGTTCAAGGCACTGGTACGGACCATCTCCGTGAGGCAACATTGGGAGCTCCGCGTCACAAGAAGCAACAAGAAGAGCGTGGTAATAGGATGTCGCTCTTCAAACAATTGTTTCTTTCGAGTCGTCTGTCGTGCAAACAAAAACGCGACCTACATTAGCAGTCTCCAAGACAGTCATAACTGTCGACGCAATGCGACCCCCACATCGAGAACACCGGCTCGCTCGGAGGCTTCGCATGTCCGCTTCCTCCTTTCGGAGATCCCCAAGCTTTTTGACATGAGCCATAACGTCAAGGCCCAAGATGTTGTCGACGCTATCAAGCGATATCATGGATACGACATATCCATGCGACAAGCGCAACGAGCACTTATTCGCCTACAACAGAAAGAAGTCCAGAACCAGAGCGAAGAGACCAATACGCATGACTCCAGTGGTGAAGATCAACCAGACAGTCCGCCATCTCAGATGGAGACGCAGGCGAGTAACTCGGCATTTGGCAGTCTTTCCAGCCAACGCTGGATTTCGGAAAACATCCCATCGGCTCTCATTGATAGCATGCACCAGGGCGAAACCCATCGCAACTCACTCTCGATGTCCCATCTTCACAGTCAACCCGTACAGCCACCCCTTCAAGTCCACCTTAACCATCAAGTGCCGCACCTGCGCCAATTACACCAACCACCCGAGGCTCAATCTCAGGATCAAACCAGTATCAGCCACGGCATTCATCACCGAACTGACTATGGTGTAGCCAGCCCCGGCCAACCGTCTGTTCCAGAGCTCGGACAACCCAAAATGCAGACCCAGCCTTCGAGTAACGGCCATCCTACAACACCGCAGGCAATCCTGACAAACTTCAAGATAGAATTTACATGCACCACATGTGGCGCATTGAACCAGAGCTTTTTCCCCAACCACGGGAATGTCATGGACGGAAGCTTTCTTCCTCAGCACCACGGACCCGACCAAAGTACTACTACCACCGGCGGAGGTCCTTCGGCACAGTCGGTTCAGGGACACGACAGTAACAACCGCGCCGGAGGACCCACGGGCTACGAAGGAACTAGCGCGACAGGTACACGTGGCGTGCAGCCATCTTGGACGGCAGGTACCCTGGATCTTACACTTGCACATACGCACTCTTAGGTTCGTGTAAAGCTGGAGGCAACACCCCAAGCTGTAACAAATGTTAGTCGCGCTTTGAGACTGGAAATTCCTGTATGAAGCATGTTACACAGCACATCGATTTGCCCATAAACGCGTCAGCACCTGCTCACGGTCACCCAAAGTTGAGATCGAGCGTATCTTTCGCACGTCAACAAATCCATGAGGTTCCACAGGGAATGAACCCCTAAAGTAAGTTCCACCGCATTGAGTTGAGATAATAGAGGCTGCATTCTGAATCGCTGCATTGAGGCCGATTTCCCAACAAGGATATACCTAGGGGACTGTCTTGCGAGACAGTATGTCATGCCCGCCCCATGTCAATCGCCAGCCTCTAACACAATCCCATCTGGGTTGGTCTGCGACTCAAGCCCTAGCAGATCTCGCAACTCGATCCTTGGTTTAAATTGATCCATCGGTCTGGTTGAAAATCGAACTGATTGGTTGCCAACGTCGACTTTAATGAAGAGACCAGGGTGAAGATCTTTACACAAAGCAGTTGCAGCTAGCAGAGCAATGCTGTGCGCTGTAGACATATATTGCGAACTGGTTTCATGGAAAGCCCAGTCTCCGCACAGACGTTTGGGCACGAAAGCCAAGAGATCGATATTCGAAAGCTCCGCCAGTTGCGATGAGATCTCATCCGGCAGGACTTTCAATTACCGCATAGGTCGGCAAGCCTCCGACAATGCTTGTCGGACATCCGAAGCGCCGGTCAACCCAACTTTCCGCCACACAGATCCACTTTCCCACTGAAAAAATGTTAACTGACTGGGCAACCACAGCGCGGAATCGGTCCGGATTCCCTGGCTCGGTTAGGTTTGAAACAGCTCATAACCGATAATGGCTGTGACAATGAGCAAAACGGCCATTGCCATTATGTCCGAGTCGCCCAGAACCGTCGGCGGTCCGTCCGCTGCCCTGCGGAGCTGGACTGATAAAGACTCGCAGGGAGGATGATTTGGTCGTCTCCTCCAGCATTTCCTACTAAATTGGCCCATTAACCGGACAGACAGGGGTCGCATGACGATATTCTAACTCCGCCTCAACCTATCTCCCCATATATAGCAGTTTGACTGTGTGTAGGTACTGGATCTGACCTGCACTCCACTCACGACGGGGACAAGCTCTAAATCTTCGATACGACATTCGATATTTGTGACACGAACCTGGCTCCTCGGGTCAACTGAGACCATCTCCAGCCCCATCTAGACCATTGTCGAGCTCTTCTAAAAGTAATGTCCGAGGCCATCTTGCTGTCCAGACCGTTATTATTCTAGGGGAAGAAGAAGAAAAGATGAATCGGCAACAGGCGGCCGAGAAGGCTTTACACGACCAGACCAATATCCTCCCCATTGGGCAACTGCTGGTTGTCTTCTCTGGCCTGGCAGTCTCTCTGCTCATTACTTTTGTCGATCAAAATGGTATCAGCGTCACACTTCCTACGATAGCCCGCGACCTCAATGCCCAGGATACGATCTCCTGGGCAGGAACCTCGTCTTTGATTGCGAATACCATGTTCACAGTGCTGTACGGTCGACTTTCTGATATATTCGGTCGAAAGATTGTCTATCTCTGTGCGTTAGCACTTCTCTGTGTCGCTGACTTGCTTTGCGGCCTTTCCCAAAATGCCCCCATGTTCTACGTTTTTCGAGGGTTGGCTGGCGTTGCAGGTGGCGGCGTCACGTCGCTGACCATGATCATCGTCTCGGATATCGTCACCCTCAGGGAGCGAGGCAAGTATCAGGGCATTCTGGGAGCAGCTTTGGGTCTTGGAAACGTCATTGGCCCGTTCGTCGCTGCAGCTTTTGTCATGGACTCGACCTGGCGAGGATTCTTCTGGCTCTTATCTCCACTGGCGGCGTGTTGCATCATCGTCGGATATATTCTCATCCCCAACAATTCCCGGAAGGATAGTTTCCGGAAAAATGTCCGCAAGATTGACTTCTGGGGCGTTCTCGCCTCGTCAATCGGCATCATTTTCTTGTTGATCCCCATCTCTGGGGGTGGGTCCTATTTCAATTGGGACTCGCCTATGGTTATCAGCATGCTCACTATTGGAGGCTGCGCCATCCTCGCCTTTATTGTGATTGAATGGAAAGTGGCGGTGCTGCCTATGCTTCCAGGTATGTCCCAGTAGCCATCCTACAGATATTGGATACTAACGACTGCAGTGGTGTTCTTCAAGAACAAAGTGCTCTGTGCTCTGTTTCTGCAGAGTTTCCTTCTTGGTGCTGTGTATCAGTCTTACCTATACTACTTGCCTTTGTATTACCAAAACGCTCGCGGATGGTCTCCAATTGTGTCTGCTGCGTTGACTGCACCCATGGTAGCTTGCCAGTCACTTGCATCGATCACCTCCGGACAGTACATCTCACGCATGAAGCGTTATGGAGAGGTGATCTGGGCTGGCTTTTTCATGTGGACATTGTAAGTAACTAGTCTGTTCCCTCCCTTGCCAACTTGATTGCGCATTCTGACCCGGTCCCAGGGGTGCTGGTTTGATGCTACTATTTGATCAGCATACTAGCCCAGGTGCTATTGCTGTTATTGTCGGCATTGCTGGCATTGGCGTCGGCTGGACCTTCCAGCCGACCATGATCGCTTTCCAAGCCCATGCTACTAAATCACAACGAGCCGTTGTGATTTCAGACCGGAACTTCTTCCGTTGTATCGGGGGTGCCTGTGGCTTGGCGGTCTCCGCAGCCCTACTCCAGGCCACCCTACGATCCAACCTCCCAGCCGGGTATAAGGACGTTGCGGAATCATCGTACACGCTTCCGTCCCGGAACGGTATCTCAGATTCCGATTGGGAGCAGATTTTGGCAGCTTACGTGAAGGCATCCCACTCTGTGTTCATCTTGCAGGTTCCACTGATCGGAACGTGCCTTCTTGCGTGCCTGTTCCTTCGGGACCGAGGTTTGGAGCGACCGAAGGATCCGCATGAGATCGAGGAGGAGAAGAGACAAGAAGAGGAAAAGCGGAGACAGGAGGAAGCCCGAGAGCAGGAAGAGCAACGGGTTGCTGGTCAGGATGTGGAGGCTCAGGTTCCGCCCCCACCTGAGTCAGTCGAGGGCGGTCATTCTATCACATATCCTATTGATGTCGAAAAGAAGGAACGAGAACAACAGGGGCCAAGGGACGAAAAAGGGTATCGCGTTGTGGCGCTTAGTTGAGAGGGTTTAATTATCAGTACAATACAGATCGAATGGAGACATAGAATAGAAATGAGCAAGAATGCTTAGCGGCGGACAGAACCGCGACGTCTTGGCAGACTTCGGAGGGCCGACGCCCATTCTGTCTCTATTCACCCCACTTCTCCGACAACCACTCCGTCCCTCCGACACCAAGCCTGCTGCGTGCAACTACATAGTACGCACGACGTCAGTCCAAGTATACTCATACAATCGTGGTGGTGGCAACAATGATATAATGAGTGGTATGGAGACTGAGGGAGTCTCCCCCCACACAAGAGCGTCTTCTCCCTCTCGGGATTACAATCCTCGGAAGCGGGGGAGGACCGCTTGCACTCGCTGTAAAACGAGGAAGCAGAAAGTCAGTCACTGCAGTATGATACTGGTCAGCTCTTATCAAGAAGAGTCACGTTGACCATACCTCACAGTGCGACAATAACTATCCCACATGCTCCAACTGCCACAAAGCTGGAGCGAACTGCGACAAGGCTTCTGTGCGAAATGATAACGGATCTCAGAATGAGTATAAGCCGGATATCTATGCTTCTCTGCGTATATGCTGATATCTTCCAGATATACACGGGCTTTGGAGAGCCGAATACACTATCTGGAGTCGCAGTTAGATTCAAGACCCAAGGACAGCCGGGCCAGCAGCCACGTTGCTCATCCTGTCGCGGCACTCCTCTCTCCTCAGAATCCCCCGACACCGGCTGGATCGACCACCGAACTTGACCGGAATGCTGTCGGGGAGATAGTGGGCTTTCTCGCCCTCAACTCGTCGGAAGCTCCAGCGTATGTGGGATCCAGCTCCGGGCTGTCTCTGGCCGCAGACCTCGGAGAAATGGTCCAAGCCACCGTCTGGAACCAAGCTCTATCATCGTCGCGGAACCCGCCCGGGACACGAGCCGGGCAGCTGCCCAGTCACAATGTCACCGGACTTCCGCCGCAACCGTCTACGGGAGACAAGAGCTCAGAAGAGCGGGCGCGACCGTTGCGCATGGAGGAGTTGCTGTCGAAGACCACGGACCCTCCGAACGATGAACTGGGGTCACGGATTCTGCGCGCCTATCTGACGAGACTACACGTGCGGTATCCCTTTCTTGATCGGACTGAGCTATGGCGCTTGCACGAAGACCGCTGGCGGTTGGCCAAGACTCCACGCGAAGAGCTTACCAGGGCGGAGCGATTCGGGATCTTCAAATTGTATCTCGTATATGCAATTGGAGCGACGACTATACAGCTGAGTGAGAATCTGGCTACAATTCTTCCCGAGGTGAGTTGGCCCTGTTGGGGTCTGATGTATCAGTCTAACCTCCTTGGTAGCAATTCTATACAACCGCACTGCAGACTGTCCCCAGAATGTGTGAGCCACGGTCGGTCGAGAACATCGAAGCCATGACTCTGATGGTGGTTTACCATCTTCGATCTGCGTCCAGTCAGGGCATGTGGTACATGGTGGGGCTTGCGATGCGGACCGCCATCGACCTGGGTTTGCACCGAAAGGCAAATGAAAACAACCTGGATCCGTTCACCGCGCAGATGCGACGCCGTCTGTTTTGGACAGTCTACTACCTTGAGCGTGTGGTGTCGATGTCACTGGGCCGACCCTTTAGCATTGCAGACCGACACATCGACCTGCCTTTACCACTCGATGTCGACGACGATGTGCACGATCCGGCTGTGCTGACTGCATCTCCGCCGATGGACAGAATCACAAGCCTCACATTCGCCATCTACCTCATGAAACTCCGTCGGATTGACTCGAGAATCCAACATAAGATCTACCGAGCCGATCGCCCGCTGCACACTCTGCGCTCCAAGATGGACCGTCTATATCTGGAACTGGAGGAATGGAAGCAGTCCGCGACGCGCCGTTTCAGTGGATCCGACCTCGATTACCCGATGCTACACTACCACCGGGCTCTACGGCTGTTGATCCAGCCTTTCCTGCCCTCCCTGCCCCTCACAGACCCCTACTACCACATCTGTCTGCGAGCCGCCGGAAACACCTGCCAGACGCACAAGCGACTTCATCAGACCCTGGAATACGGCCACTCCTTCCTGGCGGTGCAAACCGTCTTCATGGCCGGAATCACTCTGCTCTACGCCCTCTGGACCCACACCAGCGACGTCTGGTCCGTGCAGCTCAGCAACGACATCCGGGCCTGCTCCACTGTGCTCTTCGTCATGGGCGAGCGCGCCAAGTGGGTGAAGAAGTACCGGGACGCCTTCGAGCTACTCGTCAACGCGGCCATGGAGAAGCTCGAAGGCACCGATGCCTCCAAGAAGGTGGGCATGGCCGAGCTGATGACGGCCCAGCACATCGGCGGCGGCGGCGGAATCAACGCCGGCATGTTTCGCGACAATCACCCCAGCACCTCGCGACCTACGGAAGGAGGGACGGCGGCAGCGGCGCAGCAGCAGCAGCAGCAGCAGCAGCAGCAGCATCAACAGCAGCAGCAGCCCGCTGCCAACCCGGCTGTCTCGGTTGACCCGACCAGCCAGGACCACGGCGTGCGCATGGCGTTGCAGCTCGCCCCCTGGATTGACCTGGAGGAGGACAGCCCGTTTTGGATGCCGGATTTCGAGACTCTGGAGGGGTTGTCGGGGGATTTGTGGAGTAGCGGAGAGTTTGCGCCGTTTGCGCCGGTTGATCCGCTTTTTGGGGTTATGACGGGGCCAGACGTGTGATCTTTTACTCGAAGGTGTCGAGTCTATGGATAGAAAAGCTCGCCTCGTATCTATAGCATGCCCGTAGCCTTGTAACATGCAGTTGCAATTTTGCACCTTAATTATACGAAAGACTGTGTGTCTCGGGATGTGTTCTATTGGATTGTCTATCTAGCGCACCGCCCGAAGGAAGAAAAGTAGAGCATGTGCTTGGTAACTTGATCCATGCGAGCAACTTGGCGCAAATCATTTTGGACCAAAAGATATTATAACTCATCCTTCACAACACGAGGCTGAGACACGGGACGGCCGCTGTCCTGATCGAGCACGACGCCGTTCTTCTTGCGCCACTTCTCCCACAGGGCAAAGAAGTCCTTCTCCATGCCGCTCTCCATCTCATCCGGCAGGATGACGGTGTACTCGATATACAAATCGCCGGGGCTCTCATCCTCATCGTCGGACTCATGCAGATGGCCCTCGGAGTAGAAGGGCATGCCCTCGCCCTTGACGGTCTCCACAGCCAGGGGCTGCACAACCTGGCCCCTTGTCCGGCCCACCTGCACAACATGGCCATCCAAATGGGTAATATTCCGGGTCCACTCGCCCATCCAGGCCTCGCGCAGCGACAGCGCCTCCTTCCAGAACAGATCCCTGCCCTTCCGGCGGAAGAACGTGCCATCCGTCCCCTCAGCCACAAACTCCGGCTCGCGCTCCTCCAGAATCAGCACCAAATCGCCCGCAATCCAATCAGGGCTCTCATCAGCCTCATTCTCAAACACAATCCGCGTCCCTTTGCCCATCCCCGGCTCGATCGTCGCAAACGTCTCCACCTCCTTCCTCACCACCCGCTGGCCCTGACACACGGGACACGGCCGCTTCACCATCTTCCCCTGCCCCCCGCACTTATCACAATGCATCTGCACCTGCTGAAACATCCCCGGAGCCAGCTGATGCTTCTGGATCACCACCCCGCGGCCCGCGCACTTGTCGCACGTCACCACCTCCCGATCCGCCGATCCCGTCCCCTCGCACGCATCACAGATCTGCTGCTTCTCCACCCCGAACGACACCTCCCGCCCGTTATAGAAATCGCGCAGCGGCAACCCCACCTTCAGCTCCATATCCGGACCCCGGCGGTGGCCCGGCGCGTGCCCGAAATGGCCCCCGCCCCCGAAAAACCGCGAGAATAGGTCGAAGGGGTCGTTGCCCCCGCGCCGGCCGCCCCCGGCGCTCCCGCCTTGTCGGTGCTGCTCGATCCCTTCGTGCCCGTACTGGTCGTAGATCTTGCGCGTGGTGGGGGTCGAGAGGATGTCGTAGGCTTCGGCGATGAGCACGAATTTCTCGCGCGCGGTGTCGTCGCCTCTTTTCTCGGGGTGTACAGTGATTAGTTTTATGTGGTGATGGCCACAGGTGGTGGAGAGCTCCAAAGGGAGAGGGGGGTACGCAGACTTACGGGTTCTTATCCGGATGGAACTTCTTGCTTAAGGTCCGGTAGGCGCGCTTGATGTCCTTCTCCGAGGCGGATTTGTCCAGCCCCAAAGTCTTGTAGTAGTCGTCGGCTGCGAGGGCGAGTTGCACCAGACAGAGGGTCAGGGCCACGAGGATGAAGAGGGTGCGCATTGTGGGGAGCATGGTTGATGGGTGATGCTTTCTTCGTTTCGATCTTTGTTAAAAAATGTATTGATGTGTTTTTCTGGTGGTGGTGATTGTTTTGGCGACCAGAAGTGGGGTGTGTGAGAGGATGTATGGTACGTATGTAGTCTTTGGTTTGCTGGCGGTTTGCGATAGCCCACAGCCAAAACTGCGGAGTATAGCAGTCGGAATTACCTCGCAACTTGTGCGAACGTGGACGGAAGGAATAAAGTGACAAAAGAAGGTCTAAAGTAAACGCCACGAGGGCAATTGACAGGTCCCTCAAGATCAGTCAAGATCTCAAGCAGCGAGGCACAGGAGGGAGGGAAGGAGGGAGAGGGTTGTAAGTTTCCTGCCAGACTGGCTGTTTTGCAGTGCTGTTATCAGTTGCTTCTCTACTGATTAGGTGGCCGCAACGGGCCCCCGGGCCAATTGTTCGCCCGATGGCCGGGTCACGTGGACTATAACTACTGCTTATGCGCATACTATTCAATGTCCATAATATACTAGAATAAATGAAGGCAGTTCATTCGATTCGTTAACGCAAAGTACAAAATGCAAACCTCATCGCTTCCAACTAACCGAAACGCCTAACGGACCGGTGGCTATACATTATGGCATTCTTCCCCCGGACAATTTCATATCCCATCAAGGCAAAAACATTACTCAGCACCTCACCCAAAACCTAAGCCCGACGAACGGGCACGTCGAATATCTCGTTTCTCCAGGTTCCCGCCAGAGTGCGATACTCATCGCCCTCTTCGATAGCCTCCTCCGCCCGTAGCGCCTGCTCGTTCCACACCTTGACCAGACTGCCGGGGGCATACACTCCCCGGAACACACCCTCACCCGGCGGCTCCAGTCCAATCCGCGTCTTAACGTCGGTCTCCGGCAGCGCTTTCAAGCGAGCCAGCACCGCCCGCACGAAGCTGGCCAGATCCTGCGGGTTGGCGATCCGGGCCGCCCGCAGCCGTTCGCGGGCAAACACCAGCTCCCGGTTCAGAGCAAACGCCGCCTGCACGATCTTCTCCGCGATTTTCTTCTCGAGCACTCGACGCACGAGGTGCTTGAGGAAGGGCTTGGTCAGCCAGAGCAGCCACTTCCACCGGCTGCGATGCACCTTGTAGTCGAGCTTGTGGATCCGAACGCGGACCCCGCGCAGGGTGAAGATCTGTTCCAGCCTGTCTCGGCCGACTTCGATGTCGAGTGAGATGTCAACCCCGCGCCTGTCTAGGAAGAAGCTGGCGACACCTTCATCCTTGAACCGCAGGAAGGGCCCAGAATGGGTCCGGATCCAGTACCCGAACTCAGACGCACTGATATTCAAACCGTTGATGGTCGCCGTGAATGTGGTTTTGAAGTCGGTGGCGGTCCGCTTGGAGTGCTTCTTCACGATGTCGATATCGTTGCGTGTGGTCACGTGCATCCGATAGGGAAGAAAGGACGAATAGTTGACCGTATGGCCCGGCTCAAGGATCAAGCTCTCCAGCAGCAAGTCAACCTCGGGCGCGGAGATCTCCAGGCGAGGGATTGGAATGAATTGCACCGTACGAAGAACCAGGGGCAGGAAAAATTCGAGCAAGTCTGCCGGCAGCTGGCTCTCGCGGCTATGATAGGCCTCCCAAATATCCTTGTACAGCTTTTGGGTTGCATTGGTTAGATTGGACACTGCTTTGTCGCTGGGAACCGTCCGCAGAGCTCGCTTGGCCTGGACCAGAAAAGCATCGACGTCCTGCCTGAACCGTGATTCGGTCTTGACCTCCTTAGACTTTTCCTTGAGCTCATCGAATTTCTCCTCCGCATTGTCAAAGAAATTAGGATCAGTCAGCATCTCCTGGACGACGGAGCCGGCCTCCGAGAGGAACTTCTCAAACTCAGGGTCGGAGTTTGCATGCTGCAACACCGTCTCAAAGCGCTTCTCCAGGGTCTTCCATTCTTCGGCACCACCGAACGATTGCAACAAGATCCAAAAGTGCTGCATCGCCTGCTTGAGGTCTGCATTGACGTCGACATCTTCTTCCGCCGCTGTCACTACATCCGACGCAGCGTTCACGTAGGCTTGGGCATACCGACGAACCAGCTGGCCCAAGGTTGAGATTGAGTCCGAGTAGTCCGTACGATCCTTGAGCTTGAGGACGGTCCGCTTCAGTCGGTACAGCAGAGCCTCTTTCTCACGACCGGCTAGGTGCTCCTTTGCACTGCTGACCGCATCTTTGCCGGTGCGAGCCAGGCCATTCCCGGCAATCTCAGCCACCTCAGTCGCTTCGTGTCGCAGGTCCTCACCCGTGGGAGTATGGCCTTCATCTGCACCTGCACCCTGCACCGCTTTGGCCTCCTCCTCGGACGGTTTCAGCTGCTCGCCAATCTGCTGAGATGTGCTGGACAAGGAAAAGGCCGTGTCGGAGAAGATCTGCCGTCCAACAGTGGTCAAATCATCCACGAAGAGACGGAAGTCGGAGTTGGTCAGCAGGAGGCTTCCCACGGTACGTAGACTGTCGTATGCTGCGGCCGTAGAGTTAGCTACCACCTTACTCCACGAACACCGTCCATGGCGCAGGAAACGAACAAAACGGAGATGTGTACTGACCTGCTTTGGTATCGGCTCTCGCCCTGCTCTGGCGAGCCTGCTGCTGGATCTTGTTAGGGTCGATCGAGGCGCGAGATCGAGCCAAATGCCACAGAAACTCCTGCAGCTTGTCATCCTCGTTCTTCTCCTTCAGGAACTCGATGAAGACCTGAATCCACAGGCGACAATCGCGGATGATCTGACGACCCACGGAGCCCACATCATGAGTCTGGACGGAGAGCACATCCGAAGCCAGCAGGGTGCGGAGATTGACAATCACCTGTTCCGTGGAGGGCATGTAACCGTCCGAGAGGGCCCGGATCATCTGGTAGGTGTGTAGTTTCTGATGCAGGCGACGCTGGAGGGTCGTATCCTCCTCATAGCGAGGGAGGAGGGGCTCGGTCTCCCCTTGCGGCATGGTTGCGATGGATCAGCAAACACGAAGAGTAGATCTACTTGCTTGTAGAGAGGGAAGGAGGGAGATGGGGAGATGGATGTTCGATATCACCGCAAAGTCCCTGCTTCAAGGGATGATGAAACGGAGGGAATTGGAGGAAAAGAGGGGAAGCGATGGCAGCAGCTCCAGGGTTGGCTGATTCCTGTTGCATGGAATCATCATCGATCACGGGCTAGTGGTCCAATCACTCTTGCGTCACCGCTCCCTTTCCTCGCCGCTTTATCAGTATCCCACGTGACCCGTCAATCGGTATCTTATCGCTCTTATCGATAAGAGCGGTTTTCTGGGGTGGTTCATCTCAAATCCTTGATCGGACGAGTCAATCCCATGGTTCTTGACAGCCCTGAAGGTCGGTAACATGGCACAATCCGTTCATCTCAGCAGTCAACTGACTTAGTCCAGAGATATACCCTGCAACGGCTACCCTGCTTGGTTGTGGTCGAGCTGCCATCTTCGTCCGAGACATTCTTCCATGAACACCACTGCGAGTTCGTTCCCGTTTGCCTAAAGTATAAACACAGACTGAACTCGAGACAACACGACGGAGATCACATCACGTAAACAAGCAAAGGAAACCCCCGCCATCACTTGTCCGCAAGCCAGGAAATAAATCCCTCTTCTGTCACAGGAGTTTACAAGGTACGAGAGAGCCACCCGAGGAAAGATCAGTAGGGAAACCATGGAATGACGGGGTAATTGTCCGTGCAGCGCTGCAAGGCAGATCGTCAGGTGTATCTGTACGAAGCACCGCATATAGGGTAGGGTTCCAAGGTGACAGCCACCACCAAAGTTGTACACATCCGTCATCGCGTTCGCGTCCCGCATACCGGAGACCGATCAGAAAACAATAACAACAACACAATGAGCGATTTATTTTTCATTGGGGTGGGAGAGTGGACGAGCAATTCACTTGGTTACCTTACGAGTTGCCGCATGCTTGCAGATTCCCTGGTTGGATCCACAACAAGCCGAAGAGTGATGGTGGACAGTCAGGTTAGCAGTCCGGGATCATGATGCAGGTCGAATCTTGCTGAGTTACTGGGTTCCTGAAAGACCTCTCATATGAGGTATTTATTGGAACTGCACGAAGGGAGTTCCCCCCCATGCGAAATCCAATACAGGGCGAAGAAACGAATGATCAGCAGTGATCAAGCTTTGTGACCCATGCATCTTGAATCCGGGGGGGAAACAGGGCGAAGGAAGGGGAGACGACGACCTGCTCAAGTGGGTAAACCCGGTCGCGGTAGGGATAGCTACCTGCAACATTATTGCGTGGAGAGAGAACCTAGGGATGTGGTGCTGTGTCCATCTCGCCTACACATTCAGCCTGAAGTTTGAACCTTGAAAAGCGAGGGGACAGGTGATTTTCAACCCGAGCGTTGGGAATGAAGGTCGACGGAGTAACCCGTTGCCCACTAGCTCCTGAATTATGATGAAAACCTATCCACAGCGTGAAACAATAACTTCGCCTTACACTGAGCTTCCATAAAAAGAAGACCAGGGTTTTAGATCTGCAGGCGTCTCCATCGGCTAAGCCGCCAATAGCTCGAGCAGGGTAGGCGGTGACGAGAGCAAATGCCGCGCGAAGCTGGGTTGAACTTTTTAATGGGATCCTGATGGAGTCGATGGAGTCGATGGACCGTCGCACAACCCGAATCTTTATCGTCGCCCAAGACGCAATCTCCTTCAGATTTATAATAAGAACGAGGCTCGACCTGGACTGTTGCTACTGCCTGCCACGAAGAATGAATTCCATCGGAAGCAGCACGGTTCAAGCGCGTTAAGATTAATTATAGTGCGATTATAGTATGATTATAGTGTTGAACGGAGGGACTTTTGCAAGACCGAGTCAAGTCTAACTGGTGTAGGCCAAGCCATCCGAGCCGAAAATGGCCACATCTCACCCGAGACTTTACTATTTTGGAGACGGGCTGACTCAGCTGCTGCTTACTGTATAACTGCATCGGATATTTCCATCGGTCGGGACCGATCGGCGCGGCAAAGCAACTGAGTCTGCGGCTTAAGAATGCCATTGGACAGCCCATGTGTGGAATTTGGAGTATTACTCATTATTTTTGGTCATTACTCAGTATATTTGGAGAAGAATTTGGGGGGGAGGGGGGGGGCAACACGCAAACACACAAATTTATTCGCGCATTCTGATCGTCGATATTGATGCGTTCCCCTTGTTCGTGTGCCCAATTGTAGAGCCTGCATGCAAAATTGGGATGTGCCAGTAGACAACTCCGTACGGGTAACATCTTGCCTGCAGTTCCTGGTGACAGATGGTTT